CATTTTTGGCTCATGCGGTTTACCTTCACATTCACAATCAAAACTCGTTACATTATTTCAAGAAAATGAACTTTTCTAATATTAAGTGGCACTTGAACCACTTTGGAAGATAATTTCTGAGAATACTTGTTGCCAGAAACGTTTTTCTTGATCTTGTTCACTAAAACTAACTTTGAAACTAATTTAACTGTGACATTATTGAAAACTTCAATAACCCATTCAATGCCACATGAATAAGTTATTTACAAATAATGCCTAAATAATAATGTGATAATATATCTATATGGTGTCCATAAAGTCTTAAAAAAGTTCATAATATTTTTTAAAATTGCAAATGGTATTTATCGATACCATATATTGTTCTGCACTCACAGATGTATTAAATAAGGTAAGAATACTTAAAGCAATCACTGATTAAAAAACAACAAACCCGGTACTGACTTCATAACTAAATTGTAATTGCAAAGGAACTTTATGGACACCTTGTATATATATTTATATATCGTCAGGCTAATAACCGAATTGCGGAAGTCATTTTTGGCGATTTTAAGTTTTTATAAAATAGGTATTTATGTAATGCTGCGCACCTGTCTGTTAACTCAGATTTTATTTTAAGAATTCCAAAACCCATAATAATGGAGATTTTGTATGACATGCACATTTGTGCAATCATTGTTGCTGCAGGACCATTATGACGTCACAAAGGCAAAATAACCTCGGCGAAGTATTTATAGATTAGCGCTTATAAATTTGAATTTATCTTACAGTATAGGAAGGTGTGCACTTGTGATATTCACTGTCCGAGTCCAATTCACATTGGTTGGCTTTTATATCGGATGCATTGCTGTTTTATTCTTTATATTTAATCTTAGACTTATTTCGGTGGGTGTGCAGAGCGTGTTACATTGATGAAATTTATATTGATAAACATAAAAAATAATGTAACTGAAACAAATTAGCTATTTTGGGGATAAGACATCGTAGATACTGAGAATTACATTCGTTTTTGGAATGTTTGGTTTTCAGGACTGGTGCATATAGTCAAGTTGCAAAATTGCGTATGTCCCAAGTCATAGACACATTTCTTTCAAGTCACAGTGCGCCATTATGACGTCACATAACTGCGTCATACAAATTAACTTAAATCCGGCTACGATCAAAAAATTGAACCATGGCAAATTTTTGACTCTCAATGACATAACAATACCATTAGGAAGTTTTTTACGTTTTTCTCAAAACTACTAAAAATGACTTACGCAATTCGGTTATAAGCGTGACGATATATTATATATATACATTAATAGGTTGCCAAGACCCGATATTAGCACGCCCGCTCTACTTATACGATTACGTCCAACCGAGAACACCAGCAGGGACCACATCTCGTATACGATGTCGCAGTGGTCAGATGTACCGAACAACAGACCCGAAATACTTTGTTAGCGGCTGGCCTACTATTGAATGTCAAGCTGATGGTGGGTGGAGCGATCCTGAAGTGTCGTGTTGGACAGGTAAGACTGGATTTATGACTTTCTGATTATATTTCTGAGACTCTATCGGGTATATACATTCTAAAAATTATCGACAATAATCGCATTGATGATTACCTGTCATTTATCAAGCTAAAACCACCAAAAAACTCACTAAAACCTGCAAAAGTCTTTCTATATCTACATTGAGTGTAAGGGAAAGGGAAAGGCGGCAACCTCCGGATCCCCCAAATGTAACGTCTCTGGGTGGGGAGATATTTGAGATATGTAATCTGTGATGTCGAATTATTTGGGTGCAACGCTTTAACCGCCAAACTTTACTATTCCAGGCCTTGTTATGGACTTCACAACGAAGCAAAGGCAATTTATTTCTGGATTTCAAGTCCTACTTTACTGTAAAGCAAATCATGAAGGCAATGGAGTCAAAGTTGAGTTGGGGAAAGAATTCTTTATTGCTGAGAACGTAAGTTGAAACTCAAGGGTGCATATTCATAAAAAGATTAAATGACTGTAACTTCTTATATTGAGATATTTAAAATCCGCAATTAAAAATTCTATATCAGATTCCAGTAAAAAATGACTCCTGTTTTAAATCTCGACCGCGGAACCATCAAATATACCAGCTTTAGCGTCCCGCTCCGTTTGCAAATGACAATTTCGACTCCGTAAAATATAATAGGCATCTCAAATGCAAATTGCCTAAACCTTCCGCCCAACCCGACGACGTGCCCCTTCTATCGCTCCTTTGTCCACTACCTTACCGTTCCTACTGCCGCGCGCTCACAAAATCGAAGAAAACAAGAAGAATTGGTGGTTGGACAATGAGAGCATGGTACGATCAATCACGTCGAACGACTGCTACGATGTTTCCCTGAAAAAAGACAGAGTCTTATTTCAATTTTTTTCTGAAAAATAACACTAGGGCTGACTTTCGGGAGTTTTCTTTTATTTTCATTTATCAAAAACAAAATTAGAAAGTAGAGAATCACGAGTTATTTGAACATACAGAATATGAAAACCGATATCCATTTTCCTATAAATAAGAGATTTATATTTAAAATATATAACCGCAAAACATAGACTATTGATTATTAAAACGTGTAGGAGAGATTTCTTGCTATCGACTAGGTCAAAAATAATTTCAGGCTAGGTCTTATTTTCAGGGAGACGCGGTAATTATCTCACTGCGTTAATTAATAGCGTGTGTGACTTTTCCATTTATACACTTGCGACACCCATGTATTGCAACTCTATAGGGTTCAAATCACATGTCCATGAAATCGATTTTCTTTGTGAATCAAAATTAAGAAAATTTCTATTTCCTAGGTTGTGTTTGAAAACATCACTATGACATCACAACACAATGGTGTCATTGCTTCGTGTGTAGAACTCGAACGATCTGGCAACGTTATTAAGAAATCAGAAACCAAATTGAACGTTCTCTGTGAGTTTCTAAATTTAATTTTATGGGTGGATTAAGTTGTGGAGCAGTTGATTTCAACTCTTTATGGCTCGTGACACCGGTCGGAGGGTTTTAGCACTCATGCCTCTCTGTTCATAAGTTCAGTGGCATTATAGCTCAAAGCTGCAAACTCCACACCCACGGGGAAACGACTGGCAATAACCGCAAGACGAATAATCACGAATGAAAATTTTTTATCTGAAAACAAGGTTGAGCCCAAAAACACCACTCATTTGCCGGACTATAAAGCATAAACAACCCTTCACAAAACTTGTATAACATGAACTACAATTCTTCTTTTTATTGCTAAATTCACTTGTTTTAGATTCCCCAGCATTGATTTCCAAGGATTTGAATTACGAGTTAGAAACCGGTAACTCTGGAGAAATTGTCATCAAATTCCAGGCAAATCCTGTTATATCACAATGGAGTATTCATGTCTTCAAGAACGGTAATTTTATGCTCATTCCGTTCATACAGTACATACTTTTTATTATATGAGGATAATTTAAAACACAATCCGTTTTACCTTCGTTTTTTTTTATGAAGGATTTTCATATTTCCACTCCGAACTAGGATCTAGACCAGCCATCTTGGATTTCCCGGAATGTATCTGGCTCGGTATCTATTACCAATTCATATCAAACCGAGGCCTGTAATTCGAGACTTTTTTTCAACAAGGTGTCAAACCATAAGCGTAGCCAGGGAACCTGAGGGGTCATAACCAATTTACACATTTTATCTGGCGGCCCCGAAGTATGTGAACTAAGATGGCGCACAACCTAACCCTAACCGGGTACACATACTACGTTCAGGTTGTGCGCCACCTTGTTACACATACTTCGGGAGTTTTTTTTTATTTTAATGCAATTTTGCGGCATTTACAGTAAGACATAAATTTATAAGCCTTTTTCAACACCATTTTGCTCTATTTGTGAACGATTTACTGAAAAATGGACGTATCGAATATTTTTTTCGAATCTAATCTCGCATACTTGGGAGATTTGTAGTTGTATGTGGTATTGTGATTGATCGTCTTCACACATTATTTCCACTTATCAATAGGAGCTCGGACCCTTTTTTATCAAATTCGCATATTAACTGCTTATGTTATTAAAACTCTTTCATTTCGACACAGGTACAAGCTTATCCAACTACTATCTGATGGTTGATGGGTATCTTCACTCCGTTGTTCTTCACTTTGTGAAAGTAAGACTTTGTAATATTCAACTGTATCATTCTGTTTTAAGTCGGTGGTTCTCAAATTTTTTGAGCCGCGCCACTTTTTTAGAATTTGTCAATTCTCGCACCCACGTAAAAAAGTACTAGCGAACAATAAGCTACAAATAATAGAGAGTAAGCCGATTGTATGGAGGGTTATAGAATCTGTGAACTAACAGTATAAAGTTGAACTCTCAAACATGCTCCACGCTGAGAATAATAAAGATACAAGCACAACAGCTCTTTACAATCTCTAAACAATAAAGAAAGGTAAATATCCAGAATAGGGCGGCCAAGATCGAAGCTAACAAGTATTTTTATTAGCTTCACGCCTCCTCAAAAAACTCTCAATGTTTGAGAATCCCTGCTTTAGGTGCTAACTCTAATTTTGGCAAGGCTATCAGTTTTGACATTACCCTATTTCAACGAAATAAACTATTATGCGATGTTTTCGTGTGTGCAATTGCTTTTTACGATCTACGGGAACACTTTTATATGAAATTCAGTAGAATTCTCGTAATATTTCTCATGACTTTCGGTAAATTTTCTTTAACATTTGGCTGAAATTTTGCTAACATTAGGGTGGTCTTATTTATGAGTTGGAGATTAACTTTCTATATGCTTTTATGCTAGTGGATAAATACGCATATACGGCAAGGATGCTGTAGCAGGAATAAACAGACCATACTATGCAAGTTAAAAGTCATGCTGCGCACTAACACAAATGTATTTGTGTAAAGTTTCGTCTGACCAAAGTTAGATTTCCCAGACAAGCAGTTTACCTTCATGCTCATATATATCTGAGCAGTGCTTTCTTTTAAATTCAGGTTGAAGCAGAAGACTTCGGCAATTACAAACTTATCGTACAGACTTCGACTTTTGGTCTGTCGCCGTTAACTGCAAATTTCTCCATCTCTGAGTCTGTTACAACCTCGCCAAATGCTTTCAAAGCAGGAGATATAGCTGCTATAACACTCTCGGGTGTGCTCACGATCGCGCTCATTACTTTCGCCTTGGCCATGGCGTATAGGAAGCTAAATGGCGAAGAGGAAAGAAAAAGAAAGAGTGTAAATCCGAATGAGACTGTGGTCACCTATGAACCAGGTTAGTTAAATACCGCAGAATGAAGCCACGCGGTCGCGCTCATTACTCACGCAATGACCGTGGCGTATAATATAAACTGATGAAGAGAAAAGAAAAGAGCGCAAACCCGAATGAGACTGTAGTCACCTATGAACTAGGTATGTTATATATGAATTGTAGCGCCTGTTCGCTCTGAATAAGGCTCGAAACAAATGCGATGGCCCAGGTAAGCGGTCCCCAAAAGGAAGCACTGCGGGGATTTGCTGAAAGCGCCCCGAAAATTAACGAAATTGTCTCAGAAACACCTCTAAGCAAAGTTATGGACGACCATTGAAATGTCATGAGATAGAGCAAGGTGGTCTAAGGTTGTCGGCCTCGCGGGCCACACTATTATTTTTGTATTGTTCGCGGGCCATTGTAATGCCAAGAATAGGTAAACAGTGAAATACAAAACAAACACTTTTATTGTTCAAACACATTGAGCTATTTATCAAGCTAAGAAACGCAAAAACCACCAAAAAACTCACTAAAACATACAAAAATCTTACTATATCTAGCGTAAGACTTTAAACTCACTATATCTAGCGCAAGACCTCAAACTCTTTATAAAGCGAGAGTGTCCTTTTAGATTATCACCAACACAGCTTGCAGACATATTGAGCAAGCATTGTGGTATTTCCCCACCCATATAGTGTCAAAAATCTATGTCAGCTTTCTTTTCAAACTTATACAGAAGGGTAATTACTGAATTTTTTGACATATAGGCAGCATTTTTGGTAATACTGTTTCGGCTGGTTGCAAAAAAACACCGTGCAGAAATTGATTATTGATGGACATTATATTGATCGGCCATTACATTAATATTTAGTTATCAGACATAACCAACCTAAGCTAATAGGTTCCTCATTCGATATTTAGTGTTTTATGAAGCCTATTTTGTTAGCATATATTCCCGACAAAAAAGGAAGCCAGGTTACAGTTTAGACTAGTCAAGCAAACCATACAACTGCTCTAGTAGTCTCAGCTAGACATAACACTAGTCAATTCAGTCACATTAGTGATGTAACAATATGGCGAAAGATTTTCCTGGTTATTTTTATGAAGAAACACCAAATGTGATTTTTTGTTTTCCCGAATATTGCGACGCGGGCCACAGACAATGAAGCGGGCCTGGGTTTGGACCATCCTGAGATAGAGCATAAACGATTCGCATCGTGACGTTGAATATTCCCAATAGCTAAAGAATGGATTTGTTAAATCAACGTTTACAGAATGAATTTCTATTCCAGAAACACACAACTATGAAGACATCGATGGGAACAGTGGTGAAAATAATCTTGAAAGGTAAACACTACGTTAATACAAATCATCTTATGAGAATGTATCACCAATATGTATTTTTTTTTATTTCCTCATGGGCTTGGCGATGTGTGCTAAACTTGCCACAGCACCGCCAATCACCGTGCGTGGGTTTGTAGGTTCGAATTCCCGTGGATTATGTGCGAGAGGATTGCTGGACTCATCGTCGCCGTAGCGTGGTTCCCGTAACCGCTGGTCGGCTTTCTCCACCATCAAGTCCATGCATCTGAAAACAAATAACTGGCGAACTATTCCCAAACCCGACATGGACTGGTAACCGGAAGAGAGGCCATGGTTTACTATATGATAAAGCCGTACTAACGGCTTTCCTCTCCTCAGGGATAAATATGGAAATTCTATCCTATACTATCTACGCATTCTGAGATTGAGGTTTTCAGATTATTTTGAGGGTTGAAAATTAAGATGAAACAGTTCAAACCATATAGCGAACTGCATACAGCCCTTTGTATTTTCATTTTAGGGGGTGCGTTTCCAAATTTTGGGAGCGATAAATATTTTGTTGTTACCGATGAAACTATTTGTAACTCATAAAAGAGTATTATGTAGTTAACTTACCATTTACACTGGCATATAAGCCATTTTCTGACTTATGAACTTGCTCAGATTGAATGTTTTTGAAAAATAAAAGTCATAAAATAACAGTATTTATTTTACAGAGCCCACAGCGGTTACGAGAATATGCACATTGGACCGGTCCAACCTAACGCCTATCACATGCAAGATCAGAGAAGCGAACAACGTACCAAACAACTTCCGCTAAAGCCTCCGCCGTATAAAGTTGAAAACCGTTATTCGTGAACTTTTGACATTTGACTTGTGACCTTATGCGAAGGAAGGAAGACATTTTTTGGGAGATGAACTTGATTGAATAAAAACGTAGATTTTTTTGAAGTTTTTGCAGAGATGTGGTGTCGGAGTCCATTTGTTTTACTTCCGAATTCAAAAGTTGTAACAGGGTTGATTTTACCAAATAAATCCGCGGCGTAACTTTTCTTCGACTTGCTTTTCCCGCTTTTCACTGCCAATCGAATTAAATTTTTTCGCGCTCAAAGATGGAAGAAGAGGTTAAAATTAACTTTTTTTTTTTGGGGGGGGGGGGGGGGGGGGGGGGGGTTCTCTTAGCCATATAAGGCTAGATGTTGAAGATTTTACGGTAGTTATTTTACTTTCGTGTATATTTGAACATTGCTTTCTTGTTTTATTTTAATTAATTTATTTTTATTTAAGCCTATTTATTTCATTTGAAATGCTTTAATAAGTTTAATGTATATTTGTTTCAGTTTAATGAACTTAATTTATTTCATTTTTTTATTTATGAACTTGAACATTGCTGTCTTTGAACATTGCATTTTTGTTTTAGTTTAATTTTTAGTTTAGTTCATTTTTATTTACACCTACTTATTTCGTTTTAATTGCTTTATTTTGATGGCCTGAAGCCCAGGCACAAAACACACGCCTGTCACCGCTGAAACATGGCGTAATTACTAACGCGTCATTACTTCGAACGTGGGAGTTTTTTTTTCTCAAATCTCACAACCAGTGGCGGGGCTTTCTACAAAAGATCCAAAATTTTTATTACATATTGAAGAGAATTTAGCAAAGTTATCCTGTATTGGTGTTTTAATTTAAAAAAGCACTCCGTTTCCTCACTTTAGATTAGAATTTCAAATTGCTTGGGCTAGCTAGCAGTGAAAACACTTTATATTACCTTATTCTTACAATTGCAATGATAATTGGACACGTAGTGGACATAGCGACCGTTTCAATATTATGTTGTTGTTGTTGTTCTTAGTGTCCTTGTTCTTTGACACGTTTTGAAGAAATCGCTTTTCGCTTCGAATACTGGACCAATTGCTTTGAAATTTTCAGTGATTGAAGATAAAATTTTTCCCCAGAAGGCTATTATTTTATTCATTTTAAATATTATTGTTAGCTCTTTAAGATTTGTTTTTGTTTGCTATGACGTCATTGAACGTTCTGCGGTCATCGGACGCCATTTTGTGTCCTACTGTACCGCTTCGCTTGGTGTTAATATATTTGTAGACTGTGATCTGACGGTACGGAAACCGTACTGCACTGCAAACAGACGTGTCCATATATTTGGGCATATCTCTCTTGTTTTCAATACTATGCAATTCAAAAGTCCTGCTGCACACTAACACAAATGTATTTCTGTATCGTTTCTTCTGACCAGAATCAGATTTCCTCAGACAAGCAGTTTACAACGATTCGCATAATAATTTTGAAATGATATTAACTACTTATCCTTCTTCAATGCTTTTGCGCCGTTGGATCCGTAGGTATATAATGCAAGGGTGATGTAGCAAGTAAAGATAACTATCCTAAGTGATGCGAGAGTCTTGCTGCACACCAACACAAATATATTTCTGTAACGTTTCGTCTGATATATCATTTTCAAACATGCTTTTTAGCATCGTATTAACTTGTATGCATCATCTTTTTCTGTATAGTGTTACTCTTTTTTTTTAATCTTTTTGTCATTTCTCTATTTCATCTACTTGTTTTCACTTTTTTTTCAAACGTTTAGATTTAGACTCTTGCAAAATATATCTACCGATAGTTGAATGTATGAGACCCCCCCTACTCCGCAGCCCGGTTTTCTTTGCAACTAGTCTATCATTACCACTTTTACAGAGTGGGCCCCAAAACAGTTCACATTAATTTCTTTAATAATTCCTACAAAAATTGATTTCACACTTAAACTTATGATTGTGTGTCATTGTACTCAAACGTTTCGAGAGCTAGGACATTTTGCACGAATGTTATGTTTCTCTTAGAATATGTCACAGGTGAACTGGACTTTTCTCGGGTTCACCCCTCTATTATAGAAGCAAACACGGACTTCCAATGAGAACACTGATTTAAAATTAGAAATTATATTGACGGTTGGAACATTACATTTTGCATAATTATAGATAACGCATGTACTATGCTCATTATAACATAAAATCATAAATTTGGAAGTCTCTGCTATTCCAAATGTCCAGAACAACTTCAGCTCGAGTTAAAGTGACTTTATTTGTTCAGTAATTAGCTAGAAACCGACCAAGGCTTTCGAACATTACGATTACTGTGCTATTATCAATAAACACTATTTTTGAAAAGCGGTGGAAGGTTTGTTCGTTTAATTTGACCAATCACCGTTCCCGGACACAAAAAATTAGCGGGGTTCGAAGTTTAGAATAGGTCATTCAGGCTTCAAAAATTTTTGAAACAACTTTTAAAAAAATTTTGTAGCTATTTTCAGAATCCTGAGATAAACATAAAAACCGGATTCCTGGCCCTAATTTGTTTTAGAATGTACGCGGGTGGAAAAATCATATCTCCTAGCTCTATAGATAATGTGATACACAAAATTTCGGGACTTATATAGCATAAATTACGCTTCATAGGTTTATTCAAACTCAGTGTTTTTCAACCTATGGGTCGTGACACAACACTTGGTCGACCTGAAGATCATATTGGGTCGCTTGTTTTTCGACAAAACTTAAAAATTGCTAATTTTTCATTTTCTGGTTAATTTTATTGTAATTTTATATTGAAGTGTTGCTGAATAGTAATTGCATTTGTGGTAGGTATCACAGCATAAAAACGATTTCAAGAACTAGCGAATTGCAAACAAGCGCAGATTGATTCAATTTTGCAGCCATCAAAGCCCTACATAACGTTTAGTATGTGAGAGCATAGCCACGGGTCGCAAGATTTTATTTTTTTTTTATAATTGGGTCGCTTGAAAAAACAGTTGTAGCCATAGTAATCTAACCAACCATTTGTTCCGCAATGTATAATATCTTAAATCATAAGCTAAATTGAAGAGGGTCCAGGAGTCAATGTTTTATGTATCCGGAGACAGGATCGCTTTCCAAATACACGGCCCTGATGAATACTCCTTGGACTTGAAGTCTTTATTTTAGTCTTTTTTATTCTGATACCCTATTACTTCGTGTCCGCCTAGGGTTAGAGCCATTACACATCCAATAATAATTTGAACGTTGACAATAACGTGATGAAACCTCGCTTTTGACGTCATATGATAAATTCCTAATGACGTAGCGACAGTCGACCCTTCCATCACTGTCAATATTGACGTAACTATTGTCAATAGCAACGCTGCAATACGCCTCCTTGTGGCGTCTCCTAACAATAAATTTAAGCCCCCAAAAAAGTATATAGCGCCCACTATCCATACGTGGGTTATAGGATCACCCCCCATCAGTTTGATTTGTGTTGTCCGAAGCTCGTGATGGTAAAGCCGGAACCAAAAACTCTCAAGCGTATAGTGGATTCCAATTATTGCCTGAAAAAACGAAGTAAAATTTGAAAAATAGGACCTATTGGAGGGATATGACCCCCATTTAATCTATATCTCTCTCTTGGGGGTCATTTTCTTGCGCCGTGACAAGGTTAGGTCGTTCAAACAGACGAAATCAGTTACACAGTGGTTCTCAAACGATGGTGCCCGCCCCACAAAGGGGTGTAGACAATTTTTTTAGGGGGCGTGAAGATAATTGGGAATACAAATATTTGTTAGATTCGATCTTGCTCGCCTTATTTTGGATATTTACATTTCTTTATTGTTTAGATTAGACATTGCGATTCCATCCACGTATTTTCAACGTGTTTTTTGAATAAAACATACTTTCGCCTTACTATATAAATATATGTTATTTGTGGCTTTTTGTTAGCTACTTATTTTTTTGAGGTGAGGAATGAGGCTTGACAAATTATACAACGGGGACACGGTTTCAAATATTTGAGAATCACCAGGTTCAGAACCATCAGCAGCGGGATTCAGCCGGTTCGCATCGGTTCTATAGAACCGCCTCACGGAATTTCATGAGATCAGCAAACCGGTTAGCGTTACTTGTAACTCTCAATGACTCTCAATTGTAACAGAACCGGGTGAAAAATATGAGTTTTTTGATGGAACCAGCTGACAAAAAAATTGAATCCCACCATTGGTTATAATATATATAACAGCTATGAACTATGTAAGGAGTTAATGCACGGAGTTCAACTTTTACGGTTGGGTTTTGGCATATCCGATCATTGTCCGAAAAAAGTGTGTGTGTGTGTGGTATGGAAATATATGGCGCTTTAAACAATTTAAGTCTTTTGCGCCAGACAATTTAAATCAAATTTTTATATATGCCTATAGTACTCTCTCGGTAGATTTCACAAAATCAACAAGAGCAGGGAAAATGCTAGGGTCGCGTAAGATAGCTTTGAGTTTAAAATCAATGCCATAATCGCGGCATTTCATCTTTAGTATGCGTCTTTCATTTCTATATGCACGACAGTTCATTAGAAAATGTTCTACTGTCTCTGGAACATTACAGAAATAAAAAAGAACATGAAACATCATTTAAGAAAATAGCTCTTATGTGGCATAGGACCCAATTCACTTTTGGGCACGGGAATCGAGATCAGTTAGAATTTTTGCATTATTGCAGAGTCGTATTCTTTTAAACTTTGTTTTAAAGAGCGTCAATGAAGTCTTAAAATTTTTAATATAGAAAAGTGAATTTATCGATACCATATATCAGGGCTACTCAACTGGCGGACCGCGGTCCGAATCCGGACCTTTCGGGTATTCGATTCGGACCGCGCCTAATTCTTAATTCTGGATCATTAGCCCCACTTTTATATGAAAAGAACTATAACGCCATAAGAAACAATCTTGATTATCTAATAATCATTAGTCGGCCGAGGAAGTGCGTGCTTAAGGATGCCGAACTATAATTTCTGGAAAGACCGGACCCAAGTAATTTTTGAAGTTTTGTATGCGGATCTTTGGTAAAAATAGTTGAGTAGCCCTGCCATATATAGTTATGGCCCTCACAAAAGTAAAAATACTTAAACAATTACTGATTATGAAGGGAGTCAAACACTTTTTGAAATTGTGAAGAGATTTTATGGACACCCTGTATTTAATTGGTGTTTTTTTTTAATTGTTTCACTTCATTCAATACACCTCTAGGACCCAACAAACTATATGGTATCGATAAATTCCCCTTGCAATTTGAAATGTTCCGACACTTTGAGACCATTACTAAAAATAATTGAAATGTCCAGTCCTGGTAGACGCATGCGAAAACAAATAAATAACTGGCTAACTAATCTCATACCCGACATGGACTGGTAACCGGACAAGAGGCCGTTTTCGTCATATGATTAAGCCGTATTATCATCTTATCTCCCCAAGATAAATATGTAAATCCTATTCTATGTCCAAATACTCACCCGTCCAAGCACAATTGCATAGGATTGAGTTCCTTCCATAATGGTACCTCCTCTGTCTTGAAAATCCCCCATGCCGGATAACTGGAACACTCCTCCGATCACTGCAGCGTACTTCAAGATATTCACAAGATTGACGTCACGGTTAATGTGCCTGGGGTATTCTCCTGAAATTTTTTTATGAGTTTTCAGTCGAAGGTTGACCTGTGTTTATGGCACATGGCATCGTATTTATTCTCGGGAGGTATAAAGTGGTGCGTCAACACCTTTTTGTATTCTGCTCTGGAAGAAATTTTCTATTCCGAAAAAAATACATGTGAAGTTTGTTCATAGAGAGAAATGCGCATCAAATATAATAGCAGTAGCCGTATTACCCATAAGTGTAAACGTTATGTTGTTTTGTTGACATTGCCTGGATCCCACATGCGCGTTCATAAAATTTAAAAGCATAAATACGAAATTGAGTTTTATTTAAAGCAATTTTTTTCTGTAATGACGCGGTGAGTTTTTGCGCCGCTCAAACAAAAAAGTTTTTAGTCGTAGTTTGACCGAGTATTTATGCGTCGTGGAATCGTCTTGCCTTTCTACTTGTGTAGTATAGAAGTGGTTTGACAACATCAGGGTTGTCCAAACCCGTGGCCCGCAGAAGATTTCCGAGTGGCCCGCGCAGTATTTTTCGAAATTGAATAAACTAAACTTAAACCGATGTCTCCCACAAAGTTAAGCCACAATTGACATCTTCCTTAGAAAATTAAGTCAAATATTCCTTGTTGTTTAAACGCGCGACAGACGCGACTAAATGAAAATTTTCGAGACCTCGTTTTAAACTTACTTCGGCTGTAGAGAGCACTGATATGGACGATTTGTCTATTTCAGCCTGTTGTATTCAACCTCCCTCCATAACGAGCCGTGAACTTTATATAGGGCAAGGTGTGTTTCGTGATTTTGATTTGTTTGTTCTGGCCATCTCTCGTACATCATCCCAATATCGGCTCTCCTTTATCACACGTACCAAAATCTTGTGCTCTGGTCGACATCCATGTTTTTTTTTATTTCTCAAAGGACCGCGCGTTCTGCTCAACAAAATCGAAAGCTATTGTGCGAACATTGGTCGAGGAAAATTATAGGAATAAATTTGCAACCCAAATTTAATTCATTATGATTATTATCTTCCGCTTTGGACATCCTTATCGCCGCCGTAAAATAAAAAGTGTAGAATATATTTGCTACTGGCTCCGGTATACATTGATTTTTCTGTTTGTATTTTTCTATCGCGTGTATGTTATTTTTACACTTAAATAAAACTTTAGTCACTGCGTAGAAATGCGTGCATAATGTGTTCAGATATTCGCAACAGCTTTGTGCAATCTAAGCGTTTGATTCAGCGACGCGCAAATTCTAACGTAAATCAGAACTGGTATATAGACAAATTTAAGTTTGCGGCCCGCAGTGAAATTCCTCATGTGAAAGTTGTCCGCGGCACAAACAGGTTAGACATGCCTGGACTGCACCTTTCCGTATTCTGCTCTGATGTCTAGTTACTTATCGATTTTAATCGGTAAGTATGTTGATAGGTATTTGTCTGTCTGTCTGTTAGATGCACGCGATATCTCACGAAAACGAATTGAATCCGCTTAATGTGAATTCATCATATCTCGGACCAGAAGCCTATTGATTTTGGGCGAATTATGTCGTATAATTAGCGAGTTATTAATTAATTAGTGATGGGACACAAGGTGTCACTATGGAGTAAGAGCTCTGTTTTGCGATCCCCTAACTTTCGATCGATAAGTCTTCGGTCTCTGACCGGTATTCTCGTTTATTTACATTGATATTGTTAGGGCGTCTATCGTGTTTATGGGGTCTGGGCGGCATCGCTTTGAACGTTTTAAAATTTGTATGACTTCTCATTTTAGTATTCGGCACATTTTTTAGGTTCGTCTTGAATCGTCCACACCACAAAAATTTTAAATAAAATACGGCAAATGAACTCGCTCAATTGGTACTGAAAATTTAAAGACGACCTAACTCTACCCCTTAACGTACTTAGGAGTGTTAGATCAAAACCTTTTTGAACTCACCTATTCCCCCTTCTCCGACTGGGTGATGTACAACGAATGTTAACAAACCGTAGGTGATGATCATACCGGTACAAGATGCCTGTGTTCGATAATTCAGTAGAATTCTAAAATATGAAAAACGAATTACAGCTATGTCTGAAATCATTCTTTTAGAACAAGATTCGTAATCTGGACTAAATTATTTAATAGTGTATTCAGCAACGGTTTAATTCATTTAAATTGAAAAAGCAATCCGAAACTTTTTCGCGTTTGTAGTAGGCAGTATGGGGATGAATTAGACCGTCATCATAAGATCCTGACTTACTAACAAGCGCCACTCTAGTCTTCGACCTTTGTCTGAGAAATGATTACTTGATAGTTTCTCAATAGATCCATGGAACTTATCAAGTTTCATTGTTTGCACGTAACTTTACTCCGGCGTGGCATTAAATACGTAAATCCTATCCATCTTACAGTGAGCATATGTCGTCAGTGGCGACTCGCCACGCTCGGGGAAGATTCCTATAAAACTGCCATTTATGACAACATAAAATCCATTAAGTGATACTATGACGTCATCATCCGAAGACGAATTCCTCACCGAGCTTACCTTGTACCGAAATATGCATAGACAATCGCTACCAAGTAGACTAATTTAGTTGGCAATCCCAATTCTTTAAAGTAGGCTTCACGTACTTCATGGGACCACATCCACCACCATGCATCGGCGAGTATACACAATGCTGTTGATATGCTTATAAAATAAAAAATGTATATTAACGATTTCTATTAGGATTTTCATACATAGTTATCCTCTGTCTATGTCGGTGAAGAGTTAATTAGTTAAATGCACTAACAGAAAGAAGTGTCATTTTGTAGTTCCTTGAGCGACCTCGCGACAACAGTAAAGTGATCAGCGGCGTATCTATGGTATGGCAGTAATGGTTAATTGGGCGCAAAAAGCGAGAGACGTTTTCATCATAAAATGTTTTCAATAAAATATTTTTGAATAAGAAATATTTGAAACTCGAATTATTACTTAAATAATAACGTACAAGCGCATCTCATTTCAACAACATTTGGTAAAATTGTCAGTCAACGATCAAGGGGCGCATTTTTAAATTTAGCCACGGGCGCTCATTTACGTGACACTGCCATTGATTTCCTATATCATTATCACTGGATTTGACTCTACTAATCCACGTAAGGCGAAACGTGATGCTAGCATGCTCTTATCGCTCAAATCAAGGGTCGGCAACCCTTTGTCTCTCGTGGGCCCAAATTAAGGTTTCAAGTCATTGGCGGGCCGCACTTATTTTTAGAAAGTTGAAAACCGAACGGATGATACTTTTATAATAAAAATCAAGCAGTGATACATCTCTCGAATAGAATATAGCTTAATTTCCACATTGCATTGCATCTCAAAAAATTCTATTTGAATATTTTCGGCGCCATTGAACCATTTGCCCTTAGGATCAACTTTTCCGCGTTGTGTTGCCATTTGTTAAATTATAGGCTCATTAAACGAGTAATTGTGAATTTTATACTTGTTAGATTATAATATCATTTAGTCCACACGTGTCTCACAATAAATTCTGTTACGTAAATCGTCAAAAGAGCCGTTTTGTTACTATAATTCAGTGAAGCGTCGCGGGCAGGATTATAATACTCCGCGGGCCGAATGCGGCCCGCAGGTTCCGACCCCTGGCTTAAATGAAAGACTTTGAAATATAAAGAACAAGGGTTAAAGCGATTTGTAGCACAAGCCCTACACACTACCAGAAAGGGGAAACATTATTTATTTGAATGAATAGACTCTAACGCAAAATTAATGCACCGGATTCATTCAGATGTGAATTTTCACGTCCTGTGTCTAAAAATTGACTCCACTCACAATCATATATCGACGATAATCAAAATATATCGCAAATCTTATTAGAAAAAAACTTACCGGCCAATTTCCAATATCGTTCTTTGCAGCGAGGACAGAACCATTTTTTGTATCTGGTAAATGTATGTATGTATTCATAGAGGTAACTATTCTAAAGTAATAAAGACAGAGATTTAGGCCTTAATTTTAAAATGGCCAACCTACGGCTCTGTTTCGAACAGTGGTTCTCAAACTACTAAAAACAAAGAGTGCTATGCTCAAATATATGGACACGGAGCGCAAAATGAAATATTTTATCAACAATTCCCCGGAAATCATACGAGGTAAGTAACTTACCAATACAGCATAATTGTAACGGTACAGACACTGTCCTAGCTTTTCCAGGTCCTGTGACGTTGATTCATTTTTAAATATTCAGTTTCTACGTGAATTGAAATACCAATTGATCCGAGTCACTTCTGTATTATCAGATCAGGTACCGCACCGCAGTCTACCGTTCCCCAGTTTTTACTTATCGATCTTAAGATCGGTAAGTATGTTGATAGGTATTTGTCTGTTAGATGCACGCGATATCTCACGAGAGCGAGGTTGAATCTGCTCTAAATTTTGCATGTGCATTCATCATAATTCGGACCAGAAGCCCAATGATTTTACTTTATCTCTAGTCTATGTCATTTTGAAAAGTAAGCAGCTTTAAAACCAGTAGTTTCACACAAACTATATTCTGTCAGATCCATTTTCGATTGAATTCGATAAAGAATTAACCACAGATACGACAACCCGTTTTTACAAATAAGAGGCCAACAAGAAAATTTCAGAATTCACATAATTTAGCAAACAGGCGGAAATTGATTTCTAATTTTCAGACTTCGGCTAAATGTATAAACCTAAAGTCTACACAGCACTGTGGATTTTTAACGATCAGGATCATAAACAATGGTCAATTTTTATTTATGGTGCCTGCGCGCTATGCCATATATGATTAAGCCGTCGGATCGACTTTCCTCATCACTTGCCACATAAACACCCTCGCCATGCACGTTTCAAAATAACAAATTAGTAATTATCAAGTTAAGGTTAGGAATGATTTGAAGATCTGAATTTCCAGCGCAATCTGCATTTCTAACCATAGCTGGACAAATAATAATTTTCTTATTTCGAGCATTGGCGGGGGCTTTGCCTAAAGCTCATGCCCAATCTTTAGCTAGCTATTCTAATCTGCCACATAATCGTCACGATTCTCTGTCGCTTAACCTTGCCTTCGTTAGCAACGAAATTTCAGTCAAAATCCTAGAAATGAGTGATGACATGTGTATCTTAGAAACGCAGGGCCATAAAGGAAAACGATAATATGTGACGTAAAAAAGGGGGTGTACAACATTTTTGTTGGTGCTTTTGCACAACGCCGAACAACGGGAAAGGCAAGAGAAGAGAATACTGCTATTGTTTAGCCTTGTAGTAATAAAGTCAACTTGGAAACGGCGAACGATTTAACGCAGCGACAACTGCGAAGAACTTTTACCCATGTGAGCACCATGAGCTGTCGGATTAGGATTTTATGCTTGATGGGTAATAATCAGAGTGTTGACAAGGGCCACACTGAATGGCTTGGCGGGCTGGGTTGTGACCCTCGGGACGATTGTCGCACACCTGTGATGTAAAGCATAGGTTCTTCAAGTTTTCAAACTCACCGCGCATTTATTTATGTGATGCAAATCACCATGATTTGGACTTTATTCCGATCTTTTTCAGAAAGCCCCGCCACTAATGCAAAATCCACACCCCCGCCACGTTTCAAGTACTGCAGATTGCGCTTGCCACGTTAGCGTTGGAGGGAGTTATTTTTGACGGGCCTTTCTACAAAAGACCCCTATGTTCATATTAAATTACGATAAAAAGAAGTTTTGTAATATACGCTAACTTAAGCAATGTGATGATCTAGCTTGTCTTTTTGAATATAAACAATCAAACATAAACGATTGGAAAATCTTTTGTACAAGTCTCCCACCGCTCAAAAAAAAAATAGTAATTATCCAGTTGCGGTTATGGCGAGAGCTAGGAACGCAGATTGCGCTGGAAATCCTAATTTTCAAATCATTCCGAACCCGAATCGTAACACTGCTAATTTTTTTTTATTTTAAAACATGAGATGTTTTTTCTCAAATCTCACATTTTTGCATTAGTGGCGGAGCCTTTGTACAAACGATCTCAATTGCACTTGCACTCTCGCAACGTTGATTCTAACGAATTTTATCAGCATACGCCATGTCTAAACGCCATTCATTTTTAGAGCTTGTTTAGAGATTGATTAATATTTCCGCGTCGGATTTTGAATATCTCCTAACGCAGGGTAGCTGGCGTACAGTTTGGGAATTACCGGCTTACTGACTAGATTTGGGGTACCATCGGTCCAGTTAGCTAAATCGTATTGCTTTTGCCATTGTGATTTATCCTTGCAACACAAATGACGCCAGTTGATAGATACCTTTCCGAGCGAGGCTTAAGAACACTTCAAGGCAAGACTGTTAAAAAATAGCTTTATGTATCAATCACTCGCCTTAATATGCTAATTTGCCACTCCATTCTTTCGCTATGTTCTTACTGGTGCTGTGAAACCGCTTTTTTAAAAATGTAAATCATACGGAGCATGGTACTGTGGGGAAATCGGCAAATAATTACAGAGTTCAAACCAACTTTTTATTCGTAAAAACGGGTTGTCGTATCTGTGGTTAATTCCTTATCGAATTCGATCGAAAATGAATGCTGACAGAACATAGTACGTGTAAGACTATTGGTTTCAAAGCTGCGCACGTTTTATAATGACATAGACTAGAGATAAAGTATCTTGGTTGAACGATTTTTTCAAATCCCCAAATCTAACCCAAACATTCGCCATAGAACGATCACAAATGTTTTCGTAAAAACAAAGAAACCGGCTGACCTTTGACACTTCGAACAGTCACAATGATTTGAAACAGCAAATGAAATATAAGAAACTATACTAGGTTACCATACATTAGGTTTTTGTGTAATATTTCGGACAATACAAAAGTCTATATAACGATTTTAATATTTAGTTATTTTAGACCTCTGCAGTGCAAAACTTATTTCACGCTTCGATGATTATCTGCAAGTGTGTAAATAGAGCGGAAGCGACGCAAATTGATAACAATGTAAATATTGCCGATCACCGACGGTTACGGCACCATTTTACGACCCTAGTATAAGCGTCAAATAGACTTATATTACACGTGGTTCTTGCTTGACAAGAACTGATACCTCGGTTTCATAAAATATAGTTGTAATAAATCAGGGTACTATACTTTACTTACTTTCTGGCCTGGCTCATCTTATATCACGTTAGGATAAGCTCAAACTTTACTTAATATGAACGACAGGAACGTAGCCAGCAATTTTTAAGAGGAGTTTGTTGGGGTTTTTGAAATTTCTAATTGCCTCTCTCTTGACCCCATCCTCTCTCCTTGGCTATGTCCCCCATGTACAGGAGCTAAGTGGAGAAAACCTGGAAATTAGGGCGCTCCCGAAATGTGTGTACCAAGATGGCGCACAACCTAAACCCTAACCGGGTACAATACTATGTTCAGGTTGTGCGCCATCTTGGTGCACATACTTTTGGAGCTCCAAAATTAAAATCGGGATAAAGGGTAAACATTAGCAAGCTTGTATCGTAATTACTCACTATAAGAAACCTGACACCACATTTTTAATAATATCGTTTTCAAAAAATTTCTCTAGTCTTTGATCTGTAGTTGTGCTTGAATAAAGTTCGCTGTAGTTCACCCAGAACAAACTTTACTGTTCTGCCTTTGCTATTAAGACGCGAAGAATACATACACATTCCGATTAAGTATATTTTGAACATCACTTAACATAATTCTCAACTCAACATAATTTGTATATATTACATAATATCGAATAATCGAGTGCTTTTTTTAATAAATATTGTTTCTCCATTTTAAAGAGAATATTTACCGGTAAATGAGAATATCATTGTCATAAACACAGACAGGAAAACTAAAAATGAAATGTGACTGCTATGTTCTGCTCCATTCAACATATTGTCTTCTTAAGAAAGCTGAAATATGAAAAATAAAAATTCATTTATCCATTTTAAATTCGTATAAAAATATAGGGCGCTCAAGAAGTATGTGTACCAATAAAGTGGTAACTAATTTGTTCGTCTACTTTAAATAAAGTTGTGTAAAGGGACTGAAACCTATGGACAGAGAGCATATTCAATTGGCTTACACAGACAGTCCCCGAACACGTAATAGAACTAAATGAAGGAAAATTGGAATAAAATTATGGTCTGACTCTAGCCTGCCACACACATTACGGGAGTGCCGATCCGATTAACTTATCATTGATTTCTGCTTCGGGAAAATTGGCAGGGTCTACGTTTCACGATGTGTGATATGATTTTTCCGTGTGTTGTTTAGACTTTTGTTTTCCTGTTTGTTTTTGTGATTGGATCTAATTTTTGCCCTGTTTGATGATAATTGCCGCCGAATGTGAAGGCAGGAAGGCATCGTCTGCCACGTTTTTGCTGTGACAAGCAGAGTAGCTTTTGTGTTTCATGTGAGCAAGTTTTGTTCGACTTATTATTGTTCACTGTAGGTTGTGTTTTTGATATTTGATGAAGATTAAAGTCGCAGTCGAACCTTGGAACTTCTGATTTTAGCGTAGTAGATGTGTTCTCAAAGATAAAGAAAAAAAGCAGCGACAGTAGCTTCTATGGAAGTATTACAAAAAATATTGTGCTTGGGTCGTGTTTTTATATAATATCTTATAATTTTAGTCTTGCTCTTTGCACTCTAGAAACAGTGACGCTGCCAGGGGCCCGAATTCCACCTTTTAAAATTGGACGTAATTGATATGACATTTTAAGGGTTATTACCGGTTGCATATCTTCCGCAACAACAAAAAACAATATCATCTGAAAAAATATTCTATCCAATTCAAGAGTCTTGCTGCACACGAACACAAATATATTTCTGTAACGTTCCGTCTGACCGAGGTCAGACTTCTTCAGACAAGCATTTGATAGTTGTAAAATGCTTGTCTGAAGAAGTCTGACCTCGGTCAGACGAAACGTTACGGAAATATATTTGTGTTCGTGTGCAGCAAGACTCCTGAATTGAATAGCCCTATACACTCTTGCTACAGCATCCTTGCGTAATACGCATATGGATCCACCTGCGCAAAGGCATAGAGAGCAAGGAAAGGTAGTTAGTTTCACGCAACCTCAAGTGTTAGTTTCATCTGAAAAATGTAGCATTTACAGTCGCTGCAACGAACTTTCTCACACGTCGCGTGGTACAAAAATTCTGAAATTCTCTCACCCAATTACGTGGCCCGTCTGCGCCCCTGTCCAGTAAGGCTTTAGCCAAGCGACTCTGAATTCGCTAAGTGTGCCCAGAAAATTAACAAATTTGTGTTAAACATAACTAATATATTGAATATTTTACATATTCATTATAAATGTGGTATTGCTTCTTATTTTAAATGTGTGTATTGATCAATGAATTGATTCAACCTTTTTTATGTCGTTTACTTTATGTTACGCTTTCTTTTTGCGGGTAAGTGAGCTTTTGAGTTTTTCCCTGATAATTTGGCGCCGCAAGAACAAAACGTTTAGGACCAGCTGCTTTAGACAATTTCGGGGCATTTTAAAAATCTTAAATATTGCGGCGTCGCGTCACACAAAAAACTTCAATACTTACTCTATGAACACACTTAGTGGACCCAAAGCTGTTGAACGGGCACCACAGGCATCCGTAGGATTCACATTGAAGCTGAGTTGGGTCGTCTACGTCAGGCGGGCAAGGTAACTTTGTATTGCAGACGTCACAAGAACGGCAATAATTCTGTGTCACTGTAGAAATATACGTAAAGAGTTAAATTGCGAGTTAAATGAGGGAAATTTGTGCGCATGGGCGTGCCAAACTAGTCTGCTGCCCGGGGCGAGTTTCTGATAATGCTGCCCCTTATATCTAACTTCTAAAATAATTTGGGTGATAAACAGATTATAGATGTCGTCATACACGAAAATAAATCAAATAAAGGTCAAGCAAGAAAGAAATGTTTGATTTATTAAACCAAGCATCAATGAGAAATTTTTTCAGAGGTCAAGGGTCGGGGAAACAACCCTTGTTGAATAATCATCACCACAGGACACATAATGTTAGCTTTTATTTAAATAAGAACACATCTAGAAGAGCATGTGTAATAACGCAAACTCTACAACTTGGTTCTGCTGCCCCCTACAATGTGCTGCCCGGGGCAATTGCCCCCTTCGCCCCCCTCTAGGCACGCCGCTGCTTGTGCGACCCACGAAGAAATGCCAATTTTGAATGGTGTGCGGCCACGAAACGAGTTTTTGATTAGGCTAATCTGGTACCTGAGAGTAATGCCAATCCCTTTGCGGTGCAAAGCCAATACCTGGATATTTTAAAACTATATATATGTACGTTTCATGTCTAACAATTTACTCACACGATGTAGATCCTCCATATAAACAGTAAGGCTGGTCCTCTTCATCAGTCGGGCACCAAATACAATTCCTAGCGAGGCACGAACTGCTTGTGGCTCCGGCTTCCGGGTGGCAATCAACACGGGCAGTACAACTTGCACAAGTGTTGCAGAGAGATCTTGCTTCCGCTACCACTGCAAAGGTCAAGAGTTCAAAGGTTATTAAGTAATATTACACACAAATATAGTTATTTGTGAATTATGGTAAGAGCATTTAGAGCTGGGGAGGGCAAAGTTTTTGGACCAGGGGCCAAAAATTTTGCCCACTTGGACTGGCGGGCCATGTAAGTATGACGTAAAAAGTTACATTTTATGTGCGATATTCACAGTGGAAAACAATAGGCCTTGTGCCAAATATAAATTTAACCACAATCTCAACAAATTCTTTGAGATATTTTTAGCTAAACCAGCAAAATTCGGTTTCAATTTGGTGCTGGCAGCATCGGGCGGGCCAGATTGAATCACCCAACGGGCCGTACTTTGCCCATGTCTGATTTAGAAGATTTACCCACAACAGAAACCTCCGCTTTTTTTCTTGTTAATTAGTAATGCGTAGCTTAATATTGCACTATACTGAAATATCGGCAAGACTTAAACGGTTATTTAATATAGGTTGTCCATAAAATCTTAAAATTCTTGAGAATTGCAGAGGGAATTTATCGATATTGTTTTGGCCCTCACAGATGTATTAAATAACGTAAAAATATTTAAACAATTACTGATTAAAAAACAACAAACCTGGTTAAGATTTATTGAGAAATAAATTCATAACAAAATTGAAATTGTGAAGGGACTTTATGGACACCATTATTGTGTGCTATATATTGGCTAATGAAGGTGATGGTATCAGCTCCATGCATCTGAAACAAGTAACTAGTTAACCGTTCCTATACCCAAAATGATATTGTGTAGCCGAACGATAGGTCGTGGTTCGCCATATGATTAAGCCGTTCTATCGGCTTTGCGTTTCTCTGTATAAATATGAGAAACTTGAATTTGAAAGCTAGACGTAACCTAGCTAGTAAAACAATAGTTTATACTTTTGTACGCCAGAAAAGGGTACTCCCGTAGTGTGGTACCAGGTTGGGGGTAGGCTATATTTTAATTCCGATTTTCCTTATTTTAGTTCTATTACGAGTTTAGTAACTGTCTGTGTTAGTCAAGTGAATATACCCCCTGCCCTTAGGTTTAAGTCCAGGCGAACATAATAAGTTATCTTCATATTGGAACACACATTTCTGGAGCGCCATAAAAATCATGACGTCCTAGACTTTTCTGATAAATATGTGCCCTCGAATTAAAATGGTCGTCGTAATATAGCTAGTAAAAAAGATACTTACAATTTTGTACGTCGGAGAAAACGCATGACGGTAGGCTGGAATTGGTTGATTGGCACCACCGACACCCTCTAGTGATGCATTTCCCTGGATCTGCACCGGTCTCTGGGTGGCAGTCGAGACGCTCATTACAATATGTGCAGTTTTCACATCTCAGTCTTGAAACAGCCACTAAAAAGTGAAAAGCCACATATGACGTCATCATTTACGTCACTTTATAACTGAAAATAATCTGCTTTTCAACTTGTTTGCAGATAAACTTGGTAAAATATCAGTCATGGCCAGTGATGAGCTGGAAAAATCGTAACAACCGGAACGCACCTAATTCGTGTATGCAATATATATTTACAACACGACGCGGACGCTGCCAGAAATTTTTGTCTGTCCCAAGATAGAGCCGAAGAACTACAATGAAATATGAATTCATTACCTGAAATATGTCTGTTTATAATTAAAATATTATCCATACCAATTCAATACAAATGTTATTATCAGAATGTAACGGGAAAAATTTTCACGGGGTCAAAGGTTGACGAAAATTCACTACTGCTGTACTAACTAATTGTTTGCCGCAATGTAAAAAGAATTATTACGTAACAAAACGTAAGTAAATAACTGAGTTTACCGGAGAAACTAAACTTTCCATGACTTAATTTTATTTCAACAACAGGAACGCAAATGCAATAAAATGTCCAACAACCGGAACGGCGTTCCGGTGCGTTCCGGCTACAGCTCATCACTGGTCATGGCTCATTTGACCCCACTTTCACTGATAGAGGGGTTCCGACCCCTAACCCCACCCCTATTGGCTACGCTCCTGCACCACCATATAACAAAAAATTGCAAAACTTACGTTCAATTCCACCCCCGAACATGCACATCGGGCCACAAGATATGTCAGTAGGGTAACTGCACCATTGGCAACCCCGGGCTTTGCATTTTGCTTCGGTCGCTCCTGGTTCGGGATGGCAATCCTTTGAATACGGGCAATAACTACACGACGAACACTGACCGTCTAAGAAGTCTAGATTAGAAAAAATATGTATTAGTAGAAAAAATTGGTCAGCATTTTGAATATATTACTCAAATCGAATAGTCTATTATTCGAATCGGTTCAGACGGAACTTTCAAATCGCCGTCATCTTGTTTTTTATTCAGCCGTACAATCGAAGCCATATTTTTACAGCGTAATTTGACATATGGATATGACTCTTCGCTTTCTTGCGAGGTATTGATGGAACATGTTTTTTATTGTGTGTGAACGCTCAGCAAACTGTCTGAGAGATGAATTCTATGTTTTCAGTAATTTATGTGCTTGGAGGACATAACTATGACAAATTCACATACAATTACCAATCTACCAAGTATTCGAGATTCAATTCGGAAAAAATATTCGATTTTGATATCGTTAGATATTCGAAAATGCCCAGCCTCACCTGTAGGTGATAGCGAATAACTGATTGATAATTTCTATGTTCAACATCGACTATGGTAGCCGTGCGCAAGGCCACGGTTCGGTATATGAATAAACGATTTTATCGAGTTTCCTCTCCTTTGGAATTATTATAAAATTCTTGACGAAATACAGGGTGTCCATAAAGTCTTGTTACAATTTCAATTTTGTTAAGCCAGTCGGGGCTCCCGAAGTATGCGAACCAAGATGGCGGGCATCGGAATGTAATATGTGTACTAGGTTAGGGTTAGGCCATAATTTTAGCTATAAATACTACGGGAGGCTCTTGGCTAGCTTTCGAACTGATAATAGGACTAAAATAAGGAAAATTGGAAAAAAATTATCGCCTAACCCTAACCTGTTACGTTCCGATGTCCGCCATCTTGGTTTGCATACTTCGGGAGCACCAGCCAGTTTCACTATATCTTAACCAGATTTGTCAGTAATTGTTCAAATAATCTCTTTGCGTTGCAAAGTCTATACCTGAGTCCAATTTATTATCTATTCCTATAACGTTACCATGCCCTTTTGTGCCTGCAATTACTAGAAAGCCAATGTTAAATAAAGGTGTGGCCCGCGGTTTCACCCAGTTATATGTATTTGGCCCTCCTGTATTAAAGGGTGGCACACCCAAGCCAGTGGTTCTGTAGGACAGTGGTTTTCAACCTTTTTACTGTCGTTGCCCATAAAAGGTGACACAGAGCAGAGCAGAAAGTTAATGTTAGTTGGCAAAAAGGAGATAACTTGTATGGTGGGGGGAACAGTTGTAGAGGTCCAAAATGATTTAACTTTACACTTTACAAGAAAACATCTTGTTCTTTCCAGTTTCATTGCTTATCTCACAGAATGTTTTCACTTTGTTGGACATGAATTGTTTGAACATAATGGTATTTGGAATCTACCGATTAAAATAACCCTATGAATACCATGGGAATGATAAACAGGGGCCATGAGTGCTAAAAGCCATCGGAAGGGGGTCGCGTGGCATAAAAGGTTAGAAACCACTGGTGTGAATTTTTTTGTGTTGAATTTATTGAATGTGAAGACTTTAAACAATTCTCGAGACAAGCAATCCTTTTTTAAAAAAAGCTCGAAAAATTTTAGCACTGCCCGAATCTCGCTTACCTCTATATGCAGTTATCGAAGTATTATCATGAAAACAGTAAGGCATGTTTGGGGTATCGACTGGGCACCAAACACAATCTCGAGATCTGCAAATCCCTTCTGTGGCTGCCTCCACATCTCCGGCACAATCTACTCGTTCCGATTCGGGAATTGCAGTTGTACACGCGGGCTTTCCATCAGCATCGGTGTATCCTTTCGATTTTGTAACAGAAAATTGGCAAATGCAAAAAGCGATTAAAATTATTCCTACGCGCACCATTTTTACCGTGTGGATTCTGAATAACATAAAAATTCAGACGTTATTAGTTGACATATTAAACAAAAAAGTGCTCAAAGCTGCTGTCCTTGGATATAATCACGGTGCCAATCAGATAATTGGCATCTAGGTTTTAAACAATAATCTCATAGCATGGTCACTCGCACTCACTGAGAGGTGAAGAAGAATAATCTGTGACCAAAGTTACGAGTAATTACTAAAAGACCAAGAGTTACTGAAACAATATGAAACATTGATTTCTCTACACTCTTCTAAAATTCAAACACCCATTAGCCTCCTCTAATTTTCAGGTGTGACGCTTAACGTAAATAAAATTGTATTTAAATATTCGAAAAAGGCTCATATGCCGGTGCAGATGGTCAGCCAAATGCATAACACATTTTTATAAGTTATAGTTTTATCACTTATAACAAAGGAAAGATGCACCCCCATTTGAAAAGGAAAAAAGCATACATGGCAATTTCCGTATAGCTTAAAACGCTATTTATACCTTCTTGTTAGCATATATTCCCGACCAAAAAGATAGAAAGCCGGATAATAATTTAGACCGTCAAGCACATCATTCAACTTCGCTAGTTGCCTCAACTAGCCATAACACTAGTCAATTCAGTGACATTAGTGATGTAACAATATGTAAAAAGATTTTTTTCTGATTAATTTTATTACAAAAACAACACAAAATGCTATTTTTTGATTACGCTCCGAATGTGACGCAGGCCACAGATAATGAAGCGGCGGGCCACATGGGGCCCGCGGGCCTGGGTTCGGACCACCCTGCCCTAGCTGTTACGTTATAAGTTGACAATTAGAATTCTCAGACACTTTTTGGAAGTCTCTTGCTGCGCCTCTGCCTAGATCACTTTAAACGACTTAACAAACGTAATGATCAATATTCAATCATTTTATTAGATTATGTGCGGGGATTGCTGTCATGGCATTGGTTTTCGGACATAAAATCTCTATCCTGACATTGGTCAGACGAAACGTTACAGAAATATATTTGTGTTACGGCGCAGTAAGACTCTTGAATCCCTTAGGATAGTTATGTTTAGTCTTGCTAAAGCATAATTGCATTATATGCATACCGATCCACCGACACAAAAGCATAGTTGAAAGATAAATAGCTAGGCGCGAAAAAACCAAATCATTATCATAAAACTTCAAACTTGCGATTGCTCTTTACTTTCACCATACGAATACTTCTCACTTTTGCTTTTAACGTTCATAAACACACTTTAATTTATGACAAAATAACTTGGAAATCATTAAAAATCCCAAGCTGCTCAAATACAATTTAAAAATAACACATTCCTCGATCTTCTCACGACCTAGCGACGAGGATTGACCTAATACACAATGTACTTCCTGTCGGTTCCCTAACGTTGTTACAGCCTACTGTTAAAAATGCCAAAAATTTATTATTTTAGTGTGTTATTTGCTTGGGCGTGTAGCTTTAGCGAAAAATGTTTTTATTTATTCTAGGAAGAACGCTGATAAGTCATACACATATAAAAAGTACCGCCCCAATTCGTACTTTAACGGGATACGCGGGTGCTGAGTTATCCGCTTCGGCGCTTAACAGTGAATTTCGTTAGAGATATAATATGATTTCCACAAAACCTTGTCCTCCTCTGATCTACGCAAACAGTTAGGTGCCCAGGATATCCGCTGATACTGCTCCACACTCCAACACCTCCGTGTTACCATTTCATTTTGAATATCACCGCAAATACCAAGACATTTAGAACCCAAACCATTCTGCTTTTTTGTGGTCGCAACACTGCAGCGGTAGGGCGGTGTGAGGAAATATAAATAGTTCAAAGCATGGCATATGCGACAAAGTCAATATCGTGTAGGTCCTGTAGGAGTTTCTCATAAACTATAACCTTTTGTAGGAATTATAGGAAGTATCAAAATAAGAACCAAATGGTTGCGTTTATCATGAGATATACGAGATTGACAGGGTGGGATGCGCGCTTTTATACGCTACGTTCTCTTCCAGGCGTAAAAGTTTCGATTTAATCGTATCGATTTTAGTCGATCGCCGTCGAATGAAGGTTAGCCAGCCCTGGACTACAAATTGTCTCCATATATATATTCGGACAGCTTATTTAATTTGTGCACGCAAGATTCGTCGAGTAAGACTACTTTTTTTCGCGATTTTGAACCCAATTAAAATAAAAGAAAATGTAAAAAATAAATTCAATTTTGTTTGTATAATTTTTGCATTATGATTGTCATTTTTATTGTGGTCGTGGCAGTTCATTTTGAGCGCTGTTCATTTCGAAATTATATTTGCACGAAAGTTATCCTGTCGCTAATAATTGAAACATGTTCACTAAAATTCTCAATGATTCTTCAGTTCGATATCTTGTTAGAAAGAGCATTTTCTTCCGCGGATGGTGGCTTTCTCAAAATTTCAATATTCAACCTGGCAACAAATAAATTAACAAATTAGGAAAAAACGCAATTTTTAACAATATCCAAACTAGAATTCGGTTGGAAACCGAAGACTTATCGATCGAAGGTTAGGGGATCCCCCGAAACAGAAACTGCGGTTTCGATTCCAACAGCGACATCGCGTGTCCCATCACTAATTAATTAATAACTCGCTAATTATACGACATAATCCATCCAATCCATAGGCATCCAATCAATAGGCTTCTGATCCGAGCTAAGATGAATGCACATGCAAAATTTGGAGCAGATTGAACCTCGCTTTCGTGATATATCGCGTGCATCTAACACACAGACAGACAAATACCTATCAACATACTTACCGATCAAGATCGATAAGTAACTACGTGTTGCCCAAGCTCCAACATGAGTAGTATGGAGTACTATTGGACACGAAATGTAAATGTGGTTCGTTTTACTAAATTGTTGCTGTGGGCGAAATTTGTAGCTGGAATAAAATGTATTTTCTGAGAAACAAATAGACATCGTTTTCCAATTTTTAGTAATTGATGGATGGTTTTCATTTATTATTTATTTTAGTTCTCTCTGAGATCTACAACACAGATAAATCAACCAATATTTTACTATTTCAACGAATATTACTTCATGACGTGACATTACGTCACAAAAGTCCGGCATTTTCCCGACAAGCTGATGTACACTGCTCAGCTACGGTCTTAGCGGTGGGAACCCGTGTGAACTGCTAAGGTTGTGGGACGAATTATCATTTGGTTCTCATTTGGTTAGTCAGGAATTTTGAACCCGAGCATTTTTCTCTCGCACTAGTTTATTTCGTAAATTATAGTAAAGCCAAATACTTCCCACCACGAGACTGTGCATCGTATGAAGGTTCAATAATATGAAATGGTCATGTCACGCTGACCCAGGCCCAAAAGCAGTGTTCCCTCTAAGGTGTGCGCGTGTGCGCGCGCAGACAGCTTTCAGAGGCTGCGCACACGCATTGATTTACTGCGCACAGGCGTATTTCGATGTAATGTAACAATGTGCTCGGTTTGCAGATTGAGAAAGTTTGTTGTTGGCCCACTTATCACCCGGTTAGAACGCCAAAATTTTTCATTGGTTTTTGCACAAATATTAGTCATTTCAAAAAAAGTGCGCACACACAAAAATTTCTGCGCACACATATTACAAAAAATTAGAGGGAACATTGCCCAAAAGTCTTTTGTTTATAGTCGGGGTTGAGTGTAAGATGAGTCTTGCTTGATAAACCGACTCAATCTTTCGACTTTTCATAAAAACAGCTGATAGATAAATTTGGATGTACGACAAAATTATGGATACCCATCTGGTGGAAGACCAAACACTAAAATCTTTAAATATCTGAAACCAAATATATACCAAAGTTTTGATGTCAGGGAAGGGTGATTGGAATAGCCAACACAAACAAACAAACCTTCCATCGCTTTGAAAAAAAATGTTTATACATAATACAGTAATTGTAATGTTCAAAAACCCTGGTCGGTTCGTTTCTAAATACTAAATCAAAGCCTGGTGAAAAGCATTGGTTCCCAAACCACGGGTCAATTACGCATGTTCAACGATTTAATATGGCTCGCCGAACTGTGAAAACAGTTTAATTTCTTATAATTTCAACTTTTTGCGTTCTCCATACCGCCAATTGTTACGTCACTGAGCACATAAAAATAAACAATAGAAGAAAGGGCCAATTCCTTGTCAGATCTCCAAGCCATTCCACCCACTATCACAGATTTTATTTATGCTTTGCATATATCCAGAATAACCTCCTACAAGCAAAAAAAAAATAAAAAATTTGAACAAATTTCGTCAAGTATTAGAGAAGTTAGAGCATTTTGAAGATTGCCATTATTTATGAACGAAACAATCTTTTGAAGGTTTTATAAAATCAATTATTAAACATTTACGTGCTTTTTTAGATTATTTTTTCATTATTATACGCAGTTTTTGGTGCGTAAGTAAGTTTTATACAAAAAACACCTTGAAAATACTCGTATGAAATTAAAATATCCAAAATGAGGCGGTGATAGTTCAAATCTAACCAATATTTTATTTTCTAATTAGCTTCACGCCCCCCTCAAAAAATTGTCTAGGCCGCCCCCTTGTGGGGTGCTGGGTGAGCCATACCGTTTGAGAACCACTGCTCCAGAGCTCAGATAAAATGAAAACAGCTTCAAATCTCATGTGGCTTTATATTATGTGGAAGTATTACTGCCTTCACAAATGGGAAATTCCAAATAAGCATATAGTGTCGCATCTAGGGTATAGCAGCCACGGCTGGTGCAAGTTGGAAAAGTTTTTATCCGTAAAACGATGAACAGACCGTCATAATGACCCCAATTGTTACATAGTTCCTCTTATGATTATATAAACATTAGCCTAGTATTTTGAAAAATAGAACCTATTTATGCTCTGTCAAAGTCGTGTTCAAATTCTAGGTCCAAATTTTTTTATTAAATAACATAATAAACATATTAACATATTAAATACCATTTAATAACACGCAATAATTAATTGAGAATCACAAACAGTTGGGAATATGAACAAGGAATACCCAAATAACTGCTGGGCTTAAAAAACAAATATGTTTTATTACCATCCAATAATACAATTTAATTAACATTTTAAAATAAAATTTTAACAGAAGAAAGAAAGAATTTACTATTAGTTATACTCGGCTTGCTTCATCCACCAGCTCAAAATGCATGAAACAGTGTAAAACATTTAAATTATTCTTTGTTGGGTCGTTTTTATGGGAATCTTTTATGCCAAACAGTTGATATAAGGGAAGACGATTGTTCTGTTAGTTGATACTGTCCCCTAGTTGTTTGTAATATGGGGCATTCTATTGTGCAGATCACATTTTCAAAGGGAACCCAGCATCTGTCATTATTGGTTGGCCAGTAAAATGAAACAGCCGCTCCAGCTGGATGGAAAAAATCGACATTCAAATCAACTTGGGCTTCATCCACCTCTGAAACCATTCCTATATACCATTTTCTCTCATAAACACAACATACATATTTTCCAACATTAAAATTAGCTAGCCCAAGCATTTTTCTGTCTGATCTAAAGTGGTTGAAAGGAGTTTTTTTTAGTCATAAGACAATACAGGATATGCTTTATAACTTCGCATAAATGAATGTAACAAAAACTTGGGATCTTTATTAGAAAGCAGCCGCCACTAATATGAGATTTGAGAAAAAACAACCCCACCACGTTGAGGTAATTGCGTCACGTTTAATCGTTGGCATGCGGGTATTTTGTGCGTGGGATTTCTAGATCCGACTCTTCAATTAACTAACGTTCTTTGCTAGAAGTATCAATTATTTGCCGAGGAAAGCAATTTCCACAACAATAACAACTTAAATCTGAACAACATAAATCCATATGCTTATTTCGTGGGTAGTTAAGCCAAGTAAATGTGACATGACATAAAAATTGATGTGCATAACTTATTATAGTTCAGCTATACGTAAGGCTTGGTATTACACAGGGTGTCCATAAAGTTCCATTAAAATTACAATTCCGTTGGAAGTCAGTTCTCCATATATGATAACCAGGTTTTATATTTTTAAATCAGTAAATATTCAAGTATTTTTACTTTATTTAATACATCTGTGAGGGCCTAAACAATATAAGGTATCGATAAATTCCCTTTGCAATTTAATTTTTTGTTAAAGACTTTATGGCAATCCTATTTAGCATTTCTACTCTTATTTAGCACAGATATCCTCTATTTCAAAGATTTAAGTATTTCTGTAATTCAAATCTCAAAACTTGTGTGCTCTTTTTGTGTGTGACATGAAACCAAACCATTAAAATAAAGTAATCAAAACGAAATAAGTAACTGTAAATAAAAATAAACTTAATTAAACTAATTAATAAACTAAAACAAGGAAATGTTCAAATATACGGGACACGAAAGTAAAATAACTACCGTAATATCTACGACATCGAGCTAAGTGAACCCACCCAGCAAATTAATTTTAATTAATTCTTTTATCTTTGGGCAATTGAATTCCATTGGTAGTCAAAAGCACGTAAATGCGAAATAGAAGCGAATTAATTGGTTGCTAATCAACTCTTATGTTGTAAACCATTGTGAACTTTTCATCTGCACTGTAAATCAAGTATTGAGGTACTTTACAACCATCTTTTTACAGTGATATCAATGAATTGAATTTTAATCAGAAAATAAAAAAATATTAGTCAAATTAGTTAACTCAAAGGGAAGAAGCAAGTCGAAGAAAAGTTACGCCAGAGAATTTATTTTAAAAAATCAACCCCTAATACAATTTTCAAATCCGGATTAAAATATTTGACTCCAACTTCACCACTCTGCAAAATGTCACTCTCATGTCAAGTCCACGTGTTTTCCAATAATCAAGTTCATCTTCCATTAAATGACTTCCTTCCTTTACACAAGGTAACAGGTCAAATGTCAAAGGTTCATGAGTAACGGCTTTCAACTTCATACGGCGGAGGTTTAAGCGGAAGTTGTTTAGTACGTTGTTCGTTGCAATTGTCTTGCATGTGATAGACGTTGGGTTGGACCGGTCTAATGTGCATATTCTCGCAACCGCTGTGGGCTCTGTTGTAAAAAAGTACTGTTATTTTATGACATTTTTTTTTCAAAAAAATTTAATCTGAGAAAGTCAAAAGCTAGAAAGTGGCTTATATGCCAGTGCAGATGGTCAGTGTAATACATAACACTCTTTTGATAAGTTATAGATAGTTTTATCGGTAACAACAAAATATATACCATCCTTTAATATTTGTAAACACACACCCTAAAATGAAAAGCTTGGGAACATACTGACTATACAAGGGGTTGTAGTTCGCCATATGCTTTGAACTGTCTCATCGAAATTTTCAACCTTCAAAATAATCAGTAAAACCTCAATCTCAGAATGCGCAGATATGATAGGCTAGAATTTCCCTATTTATCCCAGGGGAGAGGAAAGCCGTTAGTACGGCTCACTCATATGGCGAACCACGGCCTCTCGTCCGGTTATCAGTCCATGTCGGGTTTGGGAATATTTCGCCAGTTATTTGTTTTCAGATACATACACTTGATGGTGGAGAAAACTGTAACCGACCAACGTTTACGTGAACCACCCCCCGACGGCAAGGAGTCCAGCAACCCTCTCGCACATAATTGTCTTCAACGGGATTCGAACATGCGAATCCACACAGGGTGGTCAGCGGTGCTGTGACAAGCGTAAACCTAACGCTCAGCACGATGCGCCATACCACCGAGCCTATATGAGGAAATAAAAAAAAATTCCATATTGTAGACTAGAGGCATTTATATAAGATAAAAATCAACGTAGATTTTACTTTTCAAGATTATTTTCATCATTGTTCCCATCAGTGTCTTCATAATTGTGTGTTTCTGGAATAGAAATTCACTCAGTAAATGTTGATTTAACAATGTTAAGATGCGAGTTATTTCTTTACTTCTGAGGAAATTTCTAGTAAGTCACGTTTTTCAATAGTTGATTCTGACTTTGCTTAAAGATGAGTTTCTTTTACTTACAACTCACTACACTCAGGGTGGCAGGAATGGGATTTGAGCCAGAGATGTGTCCCCTGCGATGACATAGATAAGTCTATCACTTTACCCACTAGGTCAGGGCTGCTTAACTATCACTAGAGGTCCGTTTGCAGAACTTCCAAATTACTGGGATTAGGACATTTCAGAAAATTTATTTCGGGGCTCCCGAAGTATGCGAACCAAGATGGCGGACATCGGAATGTAATATGTGTACTAGGTTAGGGTTAGGCCATAATTTTAGGTATAAATACTACGGGAGGCTCTTGGCTAGTCTTCGAACTGATAATAGGACTAGAATGAGGAAAATTGGAAAAAAATTATCGCCTAACCCTAACCTGTTACCCATGTTACGTTCCGATGTCCGCCATCTTGGTTCGCATACTTCGGGAGCACCTTTATTTCAATATATAAACGAAACTTCGAATGCATTATTAAACTAAATACAAGAGCAATGAATGGCTCAAGCATATTGACGAAAATGGTACGTATGCTATTTGCCAACGGGAATTTCTCATACCTCTACGCCAGGAATTCCCAAATTTTTGTTCGTGCGCCAAATTATCCGGGAAAAAATTCACGACGCACTTGCACGAAAAAATACACTATGTAACAGGAATTAAGGTAACAATAAGTAAATTCCGTCATATATTACTTACGTTTAAAGCAATTCTGTTGATTTTCGGGGCGCACTTAGAAAATCTTTGTGGAGCCCCCGCTGCCCTAGGGCACCATCTTTGTTTTGAGCCATGTTCAGAGCGAACAGGCCCCACAATTTATATACAACTTACCTAGTTCATAAGTGACCCTAGTTTCATTCGGGTTTGCGCTCTTTCTTTTTCTTTCTTCTTTGCTATTTAATTTCTTATACGCCATGACCAAGGCGAAAGTAATGAGCGCGATCGTGAGCACAACCGAGAGTGATATAGCGGCTATATCTCCTGCTTTGAAAGCTTGTGTAACAGACTCAGAGATGGAGAAATTTGTATTTAACGGCGACAGACCAAAAGTCGAAGTCTGTACGACAAGTCCGTAATTGCCAAAATCTTCTGCTTCAACCTGAATTAAACAAGAGAGAAACGCTCAAATAAATAGACACAAAAGTAAACTGCTTGTCTGGGAAATCTGACTTTGGTCAGACGAAACGTTACAGAAATACATTTGTGTTAGTGTGCAGCAGGACTCTTGAATCAAATAGTATAGTCTAGTATAGTATAGTCTAATATAGCAACCTTGCATTATACGCATATAAATCCACTAGCATAAAAGCATTGAGGGAAGATTGGGAGTTAGCCTTGCGCAACCCAACCCAATAAAACAGCCATAATGTTAGAAAAATTTCAGCCGAAATAATTTTAACAAAAGTCATGAGAAATGTTACAAGAATTCTACTGAATTTAGATCATAAAAAGCAATTGCACACACGAAAACATCGCATAACAGTTTATTTCGTTGAAATAGGGTAATGTCAAAACTGATAGCCTTGCCAAAATTGGCGTTAGCACTTGAAGCAGGGGTTCTAAAACAGTTGGACGCGTCCCACAAGAGGGCATAGAGAATTTTTTGAAGAAGCGTGAAGCTATTAAAAACAAGTAGACTTGTTAGATTTGGTCTTGCGCGCCTTCACATTTCGTTAGTGTTCAGAGATTGCAGATACTCTCGTGCTTGTATCTTTATTATCCTTAGCACGGAGCATGTTTGAGAGTTCAACTTTTACTGTTAGTTCACAGTTCTAGAACCCTCCATTCAATCGCCTTACTCTCTGTTATTTGTAGCTTATTGTTAGCTAGTTATATTTAAGGTGGGCGCGAGAATTGACAAATTCTAAAAAAAGGGATGGGGGCGACTGACTTAAAGCAGACTGGTGCAATATTACAATATCTTACTTTCACAAAATGAAGAACAACGGAGTGGAGATAGCCATCGACCATCAGATAGTAGTTGGATAAGCTCGTACCTGCATCGAAAATAGAGAGTTTTAATAAAATGGAAAAGGTTTCTCATGGGTATACACGAAGAGTTTTGTTAATATGTTTTTTTTTTTTGCAAATTTACTAAGAACAGAATCTCGAGTTATTAACTGCAAGTGGGAATAGTATGAATTAAATGGTTTTGAATAATGGCCCTCTCGCCGCAGGGTGGTTCATTTACCGGTAATCGGTGGTCGGTTGTTCTATGCTTCCGAAAACAAATAACTGGCTAAATATTACCATACCCGACATTGACTGGTAACCGGACTAGAGGACGTAGTCTGCCACAAGATGAAGCCGTCTTGGGGATAAATATGTAAATCTCATTCTAAATGGTTTCAAGTAATATAATCTCGACTACGAAATCTGAGATATTCAAAAACGGCCTCGACTTCCCGCATTACAATTAGACTAAGTCAGGAAAGAAGTATTAGTAATATTGCACTAGAATATGAGGTAAAATCCCTCCCCCGCTTGGGAAACGTTATATTGATGCAAGAAATGAATCTAAAATTACCGTTCTTGCGGACATGAATACGCCATTGTGGTATTGCAGGATTTGCCTGGAATTTGATGACAATTTTTCCAGAGTTACCGGTTTCTAACTCATAATTCAAATTCTTGGAAATCAATTCTGGGGAATCTGAAAACAAATGAATTTAGTAACAAAAGAGCAGAATCTCATTCCATGTAAATCATGTACGTTTTATCCAACGTCCATTCACGTTGATGATATAGCGAATCGGATCGAGTCGAGTCAATAACTCGGGTCTCCCTAACGCTGGTTATCGTTGATTGCTTTAGATAGGGCTTTGTTTTAATCCAAGAATATTTAACCTAGTAGTTCCTATCCGGCGTCCCGTAGATCACTAGGGCGTCACAGAGCAGTTTAAGAGGGCCACAAAAATAGGCAAAAACTGATTATACTTTTATTTTAAAATCAATCTCTTCGTTCTTCCTAGTTTCATTGCTTGATGAAGTTATTTAACAGGGTGCTTTCACTTTGTCGAGCATGAATTGTTTTGGACATAATAGGATTTGAGCTCTACCAATCAAAATACCACTTTAAATATCATTGAAATGACAAATAGGGGGGACCATTAGTGCTAACATCTTCCGCAAGGGGGCCACGTCCTTAAAAATTTGGGAACCAGTGTCTCACAGCTTAATCCATAAAATGAAATTTAAAACTCACAGAGAACGCCTAATTTGGTTTCTGATTTCTTAATAACGTTGCCAGATATACCGAGTTCTACACACGAGGCAATGGCACCATTGTGTTGTGAGGTTATGGTGATGTTTTCAAACACAACCTAGGAAATAGAGATTTGTTTTTAAATTTTGTTTAATGGTAAATTTTACCAGAGTGGAGTGCGAGACTCACGTATTGTGCTGTACATAAAAGGAAAATTGCGTGCATTGGTAGTTAAATACATGAAGGAGTCCACGAATATGATCTTACTGCCCGGTCGTCGTTGGAGTCAATTTTTTGTCACCGAATTTAGGTGCCGGAATCGGAGTCAAAATTGCCAATTCCGGAGTTTTAAATATATCAGAATAAATGGTGAGACTCGGTAGGCAAGGTGTTTGGACCAGGGGCAAAAGTGGAAAACAATAAATCTCGTGCCAAAACTAAATTTAATTGCAATCTCAACAAATTCCTTGAGCTATTTTTTAGCTAAAACATTAAAATTTGGTTTCAGTTTGGTTGTGGCAGCATCAGGCGGGCCAGATTGAATTACCCAACGGGCCGAATTTGGCCCGCGGGGCATAGTTCATCTATTTCAGAGCTAGAATCACATTTTCCTAGAAGTCTTCAGCGCTAGATTTCAACTTACGTTTTCAGCAATGAAGAATTCCCTCTCCAACTCAACTTGGACTCTGTTGCCTTCATTATTAGCTTTGCAGTAAAGTAGAACTTGATATCCAGAAATGAATTGTCTTTGCTTTGTAGTGAAGTCCATAACAAGGCCTGGAATATTAATGTATTGTGTCGAAGTGTTAGATTTAAACTAATTTGACATCGCAGAATACACATCCCTGTTTAAAATTCTATGGCATCACCAAAGGGGCGTAGCCTGTGGCGGCGTAGCCTGTGTTGAAGTGTTAGACTTAACAAATTTGACATCGCAGATTACACATCTCTGTTTCAAATTCCAGGGGCGAAAAAGGAAGCCAGAATGGAAAAGGGGAGTTTTGAGGTAAAGGTGGGACCCCTCCCTCCCCAATTTTAAATGTTCGGTAGCTTGAAAGGCTCTTTATACCATCAAAACTCTCGGAAACCCACATTTTCTGGCCTTTGACCAAACCCGTCAGCTTATACGGGGTCTTTGATTAAAGTCTTATCGATGTTCGAAAGCACTTACATTTGCGGAAGCACTTTTTCCGAGTTTGAAATCTTACACTAAATGGAGATATAGAAAGACTTTTGCAGGTTTTAGTAAGTTTTTTGGTGGTTTTTGCATGGGTTAGCTTGATAAATGGCAGATACTGATCAATGCGTTTCCACTATATAAGTGTTCGTTTTGTATTACACTGTATACGTATTCATGGCACTATGTGGCCCACAAACAAAGCAAAAACAATTTAATGTCCCCCGGAGCCGACAACCTTGGACCACCCTGTTCTACTACATTGGAGTTGGCACCCATCCATGGTATATGTAATGCCAGGCGAATGTTAAAATTTTTTTTAGAATGCATATCATCGATAGAGTCAATAAAATACATTGAGAAGTAATATAGTAATTCCAATCTTACTTGTCCAACACGCCATTCCAGGGTCGGTCCACTTACCATCACCTTTACATTCAATAGTAGTCGAGGCGCTAACAAAGTATTTCGGGTCTGTTGTTCGATACATCTGACCAGTGAGACATCGCAGACGAGTTGTGGTCCCTACTGGTGTTCCCGCTTGGACGTATGTGTAGAGCGAGTGTGCCAATGTCGGCCTCGGGCAACCTATTAATGCACACATATATATATACAGGGTGTCCAAAAACACCTTACAATTTCAATTTTGTCATTAAGTCAGTTCTCAATATATCTTAACCAGTTTTTTTTTGTTTTTAATTAGTAATTGTTTAAGTATTTTTACTTCATCTGTGAGGGCCAAAACAATATAAACTATCGATAAATTCATTTTGCAATTCTAATACCTTTAGGACTTAATGGAAGTCCTATATATATTACATTATCATTTAAGCATTATTTGTAAATTACGCATTCATATGTACTTGACTGCTTTATTGAAGTTCAATAATTCTACAGTTGAGTAGGTCAACAAGATCAAGGAAACGTTTCCGGTCACAAGAATTCTCAAAAAATATCTTTCGGTGTGCTTCCAGTGTCACTTGACATTTTAAAAATTGACTTTCTTGAAATTATATAACGAGTTTCGATTGAATATGTGTCAGGAAGGCACCACGGCCAAAAATTACAAACATTATTACATCCGCTACAATTCAAAAATCATTTTGTTTTGTCAGTATTAGGTTTGCTTTTATATATATTTACAGTCATACAATTCAAATATGTAAGACGAATAAACTATATATAGTACAGGGGTTCTTCAAGCTTCTAGAATGTTTCATTGGGGTTTCCGTCATCCAAAATGGTTAAAAAAACCATCGTGTTAAGGTCATCAAAGTCAGTTAAAACCTAACTGTTCATCTCCATTACATGGACACGCCTATGTACAGCTCCCAACACATCAGTGTCTGTCTCTAATGGCAACAAATTTGCACGCGTGCTGACTTTAGTCATAAGTATAAAGCTTTTTATGAATCCTACACCGCAGTCATCAAGGTGTTTAATTAGGCGGTGACACATGGTAACGTGAACCAGTTATTGCCGGGAACCAATTGAAAACTTCTTGAATCTGTTTCCAAGAATTAATAGTCATGGTAACCTACGCATTGAAGTAATGACAATAACATTTGCGTACGTACTGAATTTAGGCATAACTATGAAGCTTTTAGTTTATCATACTCTACACTTCTAGTTATTAAGATGTTTAAACGAGCGGTGACGCATTGTCACGTGACCCGGTTATTGCAAGGAATCATTCCAATGAGCGCTTGCGATCGTTTCCAATAATTATTATGCACGGTAACCTATGCATTGCAGTGATGTTCCAATATTGTTTTGCGCCAGTTCTTGGAACATTATGCTAATTTATGCGTGATATTTTTTTTCTGCAGTACAAAGTAACGGATATGGGGTGCAGCCTAATTTGATTAAAGCCGCCAAACCCATTAAAAAAGCATAAAACTTATTAAATATTTGCGCTTATTTACCTATCTATAACGCATTCAAGCATGAAAAATAGAATACAAAAAAAAAAACATTAACAAACGTGAAGTATAAAATTTGTGAGCGCAATTTTTGGGTTGTCATATTTTGCGGACCATCAGACGCACAGCATCAACGAGTAATTCATAGTTCCCACATCACTTTGAGTCATACTTACTTGGCAAACATTGAAGGTTCGAGCTATTCTCCCACTTGCTAGAAGAACTGCATGTTAATGTTACGAATGGGAGATAAGTTAGACCATTTCTGAATAAACTTCCTGATGTGCAATTCATTTGTGCCTCGGTCATGCATGCTGTATTATCGAGTGTTCCAATAGGTGTCATAGATGAAGGTAATTCCGATGTCTTGCAACCTGTTAATAATGAAATCAGATGTATTAATTGCATATTTTTAATACGGTTAGCATCTTCGCTAGCAACAAGGCTATAGATAAGCATCCACTAATTTGCGGTGCGCCAAGAAATACATATAAATGAATGTGTTTCACAAAAACTTATGTTTTGAGACGATTCAAGAAAGCAGTGATTAAATATATGGACATGTCAATTAAATTCATTTTAGGGTCACAGCAATGTCAACCAAATGATAAACGAATGTCATATGAAGATCTTGCTGTGGCATATGAAACCCAGCCAAATTATGCGCCAATTATTGGGACAGTTTTTGGAGTAAAAATGGACAAAAATATATAAAAGTACAAGTCCTCTAGCGACTTTTTCACCTTTGAGTACTGAAAACTTAAAAACGACTTTTCCATTCGGTTTTCAATAATACCATCAAGTACTCGTGCAATACTTACAAGTAACAATGATCTCCTTGCTTCCCAATACACGATTACCATCATAGTAATCTACCAATACGATACGGCTTCCGTTAAAGGTCGCGTTCATACTGTCGAAATCGAATCGGATGATTGCTCTTGCTGTATATGAGTAGTCAGTTGAGCCAGTGACGTTCAAACCCTTTATGTCATGGTTTATTGAAGACATACCGTTGAAGTGGTGATAATATCGCCAGTAAAAACGATATACCGCCATTCCATTAGTTATGACCGCAACATTCGACGGAACCCAATAAACCTCAAACCGTTTGTTATCATAATAGCCATAGTAACATATAACACTCATGGATATAGAAGCATTTTGACCTTCCTTGAAAGCGAAGACATTTCGTCCTCTACTGTTGTCGGTGTCGAAGCTTACGTAGCAATCTGAAAGAGAATATTCAATAACTTTATTGGGATTTAATTGCAGCCGATGACAAGCTATTAAACGAAAAACGGTCTAAAACATGACTTGTCAGTTTTGTATACTTGGTGATTTCAGAATTGAATCGAACATTTTACTATTCGAATCGAAATGCCCAGTTCTATGTACCAGTCTCTGTTCGAAGTTTGAAAATGGGAAGCAGCACATGAAAATGATTTTCCTATAATAAATAACATTTGCGTGGTTATTAGCGCTGTGGGACGACGTAAGCGACCCAACGATATGATGCATAAATCTGAAACAAATATCCAACTAATCTCATACCCGACATGGACTGGTAACCGGACGAGAGGCCGTGGTTCGCCATATGATTAAGCCGTCTTATCGGCTTTCCTCTCCCCCGGGTTAAATAGGTTAATCCTATCTTCCTCGGACGATTTACGTGAATCATTTCCCATCAGAGCTATCAAATATAGACGCGCTGATTGCCGTTCGGGTTTCATGCCTTAGAAAATATACACTTAAAACCCTGATTTTACCATCAAATTCGTGTTGAATTCCTGAAAATTTTTGAACATTTCTAAGCTTATGCTGGACTTAGTGACTGGGAAAATTAATTTAACAATAAGTCAAATTTCTGTCGATCCGATGCCGTTAATTGGATCAAGTGTTGTGAAGAAAACTACGAACCAGAACCAGAAAACCGGAACTTCGAACAGTGGTTCCTTTTTCGATACATTGCGCTCTATTTCGGAACATTACATTCCTCTCTCCCTATGTACGAAAATTCTAGTTTCCGGTATTTATTCATTCAATAAAGACTCTCTAGCTAGTTTTAAAACCTAGTCGCACATTGGCGTTTTATCGTTAAAATAGTTTATATGTATTGCAATATGACTAAATATTCTTAGCAAAACCCCACTAAATATATAATAATAGTTCTGTATATCGCGAAAACCAAAATCCTCTCTGGGGATATGTGAAGAAAAAACGTTAGACTCATAGCAACGCCAAAATTACAAAGCATAACTGACAAATCAGTACTTACATGCATTAGCCACGTATAAAGATGTCACCAACAACAGAATAATTTTGAGCAACATACTGAACTTCAGTCTAACGTACAATTTACGTCTGTGATGCGGAAGCCTCGTCCCTGAATATAAAATGGTAAAACGTGACGCATCTTATCAATCACAGTGTTTCTCGAATCCATAAATCTAACAGTTCCTGATTCAGGTTGAATATGCTATTCTTACTCATCAGGCACGAGCTGTAGCGCATATTAGATTGGCATGAGCAGGAGGTCATTAATGATGAGAAAACAATTACTCGCCAACGTAATGCACAGGCGTTACAAATATACGCGCGTATTTACTATTTAGTGCGTAATTTACTAGATACCTCGAACGGTCTTCCAATTTCGATATATAGAAGTCTGAAACAGGCTGCAGGGTATAAAAAGTATGTTAATGACTGATGCAATTACTACCTAAAACAACAGAGTGATGCTCAAATATATGGACACGAAGTCTAAAACGAAATACTTTTCATACCGTTTTTTCGGTATTAATTAATTTTCGAGTTTCGCGTAACGTCGCTTCAAATCGGAAACAGCCATCACGCTTGGCGGATTAAAAACCGTGTTCGCATGAAAAATAAAAAAATATAACGAAATTTTTTGATGAAATAACAGATCTCATAGGATTCATAGAAAAGTCAGAAAGAAATACAAGTAATAGCCCCCTAGCGAAAAATACAACCTCTAACCACTGAAAATTACGAAGCAATTGATCCTGTAGTTAATGAGAAAAGCGATTTTTTTTTGGTATTGCCGTGTTAAAATGGTATTTTTCAATGTTTCAGGAATGATAGAACACCGATTCTCAACCAGTGAGCCCACTACTGGCCTACATTAAACATTTTCAGGTGGATAAATTTGTGGTCGGCCGTGGGCCATAGAAGGTTGGGAACCACTTCTATACAGTATAACAACAATTTATTAAAAATAGGCAATTCGGAAATAAATGATTATATGACTACACCAGTGGTTCTTAAGTTTTTTGAGCCGCGCTCCCCTTTGAAAAATATTATACACTTCGCGCTCCCCCTTTTTGCTTTGGAAAAATGCTTATGTAATGGGCAGGTTGCTTTATAATGAGATGGCGCTGTAAGAGTGTTGATCTCATGGCGTCATTGCTCAGATTGCTTAGGCATAAAACGCATCGGGGTACAATTTCGCCTTTTACTGTCGTATAGGTGCTCCCGAAGTATGCGAACCAAGATGGAGGGCCAGATACAAATAACTGGCTGAAACCGCGGACTTTTATTTAACATAGTCTTTCTAGTGTTTGCAGGCACAAAAAAGGAATTCAACGCCATAGCCAAAGATGATATATTGGAGTCGGGCATAGGCTTTGCCATGCAAAGAGATTGAAATTACTCGCACTTACCAAATTAAAACTAAACTAAAAACTCGTTTCGCGGGCCGCACACTATTCAGAATTGGCATTTCTCGGCGGGCTGCACAATTTTTCCTTGTGGGCCGAATTTGGCCCGGGCCCCAGGTTGCACACTACTGTTATACATATTGAAATGAGTCTCAAAACATCTCAAGAAAGCAAGGCAATGCGATAAAATGAACTGAAATAAGTAAAATAAAACTTGATGTGCATGAGTTAATATATAACATACAGCGCTGGATTTAAACTTAATAGTGCAACTGCACGGATAAATTATTATACAAATCTTTCATTTCCGTTACTACCCTAAGCCTCGTTGTCTCAGCTGGAGTGAGGGTACTACTGTAGTATGTGCACCAGGTTGGGGTTAGGTCATAATTTTATTCCGATTTTTCTAATTTTAGTTCTATTACAAAATCGGGGACTGTCTGCGTTAGCCAAGTGAATATACCCCCCCTAACCCCCCCCCCCCCCCCCCCCCCTACCCCCAAGACGTGATCTGTGCATCTGTGATAAGTGCGGTGCTTATTTTCATTATTTCATATTGTCGCTTGACAATCTAGAAAATGTGGGTTGCGGATTCACTCCTTTATTTATCTTTCTATATTGTCGCTGAAGAAGGTATAATATCTCGTTTTCTCACTGCCAGTAACCCTATATATCGATATCTCCGACTGAGACAATAGAAGACTATTATTAATTAAAAATGTTTGATCTGGACAAATCTCGAATCGGTCAATAACAAAAATCTCCGATTATGTTGATACAAAAATGCAAATGTGTATGAGAGAATAAGTTTTTCATAGTCTATACTTGGCGCCAAGATGTCGCGAAAGACGTTGCAATATGACGCGGAAGAAAAATTGCGTAATAAACCACGCAACATCGTCCTCGGTAAAACGATTTAGACGGCATAAGAACAACAAAACAACTAAATTTCTCGCGGACCGGCGGTTGGTAACCACTGTTCTATACCACCCTTATTCATGCAGGAGGCGGTGTGCATTTAACGAGGCAGTCAAAGATTGGTAACCGCCCGTTTTCTGTATTTTTTAAACCATGAATATACAAATTGGCAAAGACAAAAAATTCATTTATATAGCGTTAACGAATAGGTTGCATTTGTATTGTTTACTTACGATGATAAAATAGTATTATCTTATCAACGCCAATCAGTCAGGTATTAAATTTATTTGATACAAAGAAAGCAAATCAATGAAGGCAAACCAACTACGATTACTCGTGCGTTCTATCGTCTATTTCCAGGCTTGTTCATGGGACATCTTTTTCTGTCCCATTCCCACCCCATAGCAATTATGCCTGTCCCATCTCATCCCATGGGAGTCCCCTTGAAATAAAATTCAATAAAAATTGGGATTTTGTCTGGCTTATGTCAGCCATGTTTTGGAACTGTTCATTGTATGCTTAAATATATACATTATAGACAGTACATGTATCCAATGACCTTGTCCATATCGGGTATTGAAGTAGATAAATATTTAATAATCGTTCCAAATGCCTTAATGCCTAATCAGCGATAACATCAAACTCATAATAATAATAATAATATATATTAGTGAATTTAAATTGCCGAGCCGACTCATTCACTCATTTCTTTCTCTTGTTTATATTTATATTATTTATAAATTTATATTCATTTGCTTTTACCTATGATACTATACCATGTCATGATGAACTTATTTATATACAGCATATACACGAAGGTCGGGAGCCTAGATGACCGTTATCGGACTTGGACACCGACCCGCACAAAGCAATAATCACCACTGTTTTTACTATTGAATTTAAATATTTTCTTCATTGGATTATGTTTATAATAGTGTTGACCTTGTTCTTGTGATAATAGGTCTCTCTCTCTCTCTCTCTCTCTCTCATGGCGACAGCAGACAAAATGTAGTTAGGCCACATTATACACAAGCGTAAGATTGTTATTGTTTTTATGTGAAAATTTGTGCGTTCAATGACCTGCATAATTTGAATACATAGAATTTTGTTGATCTCAAAATAAAACCGTTTTGATGAATGTAATTGAATTGTTCATTTGCAAACTTAAATCATGTTTGCAGTGTATTAAATTTACAAAATACACACATGTAGGGTTTAATTTGATATTTCTTGTTGAGTTGGTTTCAAAACTGTTGTTGTTGAGTATTTTTGGGTTATATAGTGTCTTGTTCTTGATCTTACAAATACACTACTTGACTGGTTTCCGAATACATGTATTGATATCGTATATATTCTCGAATATAAATGAACCGTTCAAAACAGGCTGACAGTCAGGCAGAATACAGGTTACACTGCACGCATATCAAGTCGTAGTAATTAATCCCTCATTTTAGCTCGTTGCTTCACCCGGTTACAGGAAAATTTGCCGCAAGAAAATTGGTCGCATGAATTTTTGCCGTAGGATATCTTGCCACAGGAAATTTCGCCGCATAGGAAAAATCGCCGCTAGAGCATTTTGCTGTAAAACAAGTATTTGTAATAAAACAGTTAGGTTTTTGAAGTACCTTTTTATTTAAAATAGTTTCGTTATTTAAGAGCATACCCTAACCTTAACAAATTTCCTGCGGCGTATTTTCAGGACACGCAGGCTAACAGCCAGACAGAATCTAAGTTACACTGCACGCATGTGTAGTCGTAGTAATTAATCCCTCATTTTAGCTCGTTTGCTTTCCCTTCCCATACCGGTTGTTTTAAAGTTATCTTTACCGGGTAAAACAGCTTAAAGTCGCTTCTCGTGATTCCCATTCAATGTGCGTTTAGTATGAAAGTGACCACGATCGCTCATTTTTACGCCTCGGCGTCAAACGTTCCAATGGCTTTAGGAATTGACGTCAGATGGAATCTCCGAACAACGTTTCAAAAAGGTTTTAGTTTCAACTTTATTTAAACTTTTATTTATGAACCGTCAGTGGGCAGTTGATGCCAAATATGTTTCTTCGACCCTTCGAATTAATTCGCTAGGCTAGTGTATCGCAGCGTTTGTGGTATCAATTTTTGATTATCGTAATTAAACTATAGATTCTCGGAAGACACAATGGCAATTAGGGTATTTGATTTATTGATATTTTATGGAAACACAACCAAAAACTGACAAATAACACGCAGAACTACCAAAAATATGGTAATGTTTTCACCACGCTTGAATATCTGTCTGAGCGAAAGAAGTGTCTGAGCAGCGGAATAAATTCCAATCGGTATGTCATTGTTAACTTAATGATGATTTGTAATTGTTACGGAAATAAACAAGGAAATCGAAGCTCGGGGAAACATCCATAATAAAGTCCAGGAAGGATTTTTGTGGGGTCAAGGGTCGTCACGCTTGAGTGATCCGTAGTCAAAATTCAAAATAATCGCGCCAATGTAACTGCGAGGCAACGTTTCGAGTACCGTACCGTATTTTTTGTCAATGTCTCAACTAAATTCGCAAAATGGGATCTAATTATCAATCTGTACCCCGAAATCGTGGGGCATTTATGTCACCCATACCCAGTGAAAAGAGAAAATCAAGACCAGCCCCAGTTTACAGCTTTACATGGTTGGATATCGGCGTTGTACTGGTGTCAATGGGAACTTATCTTGCGGACATCGTCACTGGTAAGATTATTATTCTTCCAGTATTTAGGATAGGATTTACATATTTATCCCCGGGGAGAGGAAAGCTGATAAGACGGCTTATCCATATGGCGAACCACGGCCTCTCGTCCGGTTGCCATTCCAAGTCGGGTATGGGATTAGTTTTACTGTACCGGTATTGTTTGTTTTCGGAGGCATGGACTTGGTGATGGAGGAAGCCGTAACCGACCAGCGGTTACGTGAACCACCCAACGACGGCGAGGAGTCCAGCAATCCTCTCGCACATAACCATCCCTGCATGGGATTCGAACCTGCGAACCCACGCAGAGTAATTAGAGGTGCGGTGGCGAGCGTATTCCTAACGCTTAGCCCGTTGAGCCACACCGCCGCGCCAAATTTATGAATTGGATTCTCAATTAGGCTAGTAGGATACCGATAAAGGCTTGAACTCTTAAAGTATAATATTTAACATCTCAACTGTCTTAGAGTAGTCTATAGCAGAGGTGCTCAACTCAAATGAGAATACATGCCAAATTTTTTGAAATGATCTTGTCGCGTGCAATGCACAATCCTTGGTATTGTAAACGAACATTGTAAAACACACATCAAACAAATTTAAATAATAATATATAATAACGAATATCTATTTATTGAAACGATTAAATGTCCTGAATGATTTCTGATTTGAAGACGTTTTTGCAATCGAAATGCAAAGTGAAGTTGGTTGAGTCATACGGCAGCACGGCACACTATACAGATCGGGTGACATTGTCTCGTTCCAGAGAAACCCATTTTACTGATGATCAGACACCCCTCTTTTGGTAGACGTCTGGACATTGATGTCCCTCAATATCGGTAATAATACAGTATAATGAAGTTGCGCAAAATACTACATCTGATAACGTCATCATTGAATTCCTCGGGAAAAAATGATCCGATTCACTGGAGGAAAAATTTTTTTACTGTGGCATGCGAGAGTTTTTAGCAAAAAACGACAAGTTTGGTCACGTGACAGCCGTGATTAATTTGGATTATTATTGAAACAAGCATGGCGCGATATGACGCATCTGGTGTGGTGCAAGACGCCCCTCGTTTGTGGGACACATGGAGTGTTTGTTTTATTGAGCCGAATAGTGGGAAATTCTTGGAATTTGGATAGTGTGCCGTACTGTACGGTAGTCAGGTAGTCGCTTTCGCGTGAATGAATATGCCAATTTATATTATTATGGCATAAACATACTTTATTATCATCAACGATAACTGGAAAATCACGTTTCGCCTACCTTACTGCTGTAGTGTAGGCTAGCCAACCTACTTATTTTTAGCAACTATCTTTTGAAAACAAGGCCACGAGCTAGCAATTTGTGGATAAACATGACCATTCAAGTGCCTTTCGATATAAACATGATATTTTAATGTATATCTGTATATCATAAATATTTTTTTTTTACAAAACCGTTAGCTTGCCACGTTTGAGCAGATGGCATTCCTTGTGTTGTGCACCCCTGGTCTATCTGTCTATAGGCTGACCTGCTTGGTAGTGAATTTTAACACACCAATCACCAGATCACTGGTAACAGGGCAAGAACTGCAGCTTTTGAATTTTACTGTTAATTAACTAATGAATATTTTCATAGTCATGATTCAATATTTTCCAAGATTAGTAGATGCTGAGATCAATGTGTAAATTTTGATTGCACAAAAGCTTGGAAGCTTGGTATACCCGTGCCTAGATACAGGAACATGCAAAGGATAATTCCTGGAAAAACGAATCTGAGAATGACTAGTTACAGAGTTAAGAACTCAGCAAGGAAATAAAAAATCTGAAGGAAAGATGTTGATTTAAAAAATTCATTGATTATTAAATGAAATAAGAGAGGCTCTGATGTCTGGATGTGCATGGCATCTTGAAATACAGAAGTACAGAGGTACAAGAAATAAAATATATGGTTATCGGCTTATGGTTTTATGGAAGTCACAAGTAAAATCTGAGAATAGAAAAGCGTCTAAATAAATAATCTGAAGAGGAAGATGTTGCTGTATTGATTTTGAAAATACATTAATCAGTCAATAAAAAAATGGAAGGAAATAGGAGAGGCTTTGATGTGAAAGGCGGTTGCAAGTCTGCAAGTACAGAAGTACAAGAAATAAAAATATGTTTTTGGCTCATGTTTTTTTGGTTGTCAGTGAGTGAAATAAAAAAGCGTCTCAGTTGTAATACTAAGAAGAGTTGATAAAAATAGCTTTTGCAGCAAATACAGAAGTACAGGAAATAAAAGTATGTTATCAACACATCATGGTTTTATGGTAATTAAGAGTGAAAAATAGCATCTCAATTGTGATGCTAAGAAGAGTTGATAAAAATTGCTGTTGCAGCAAGTATAATATAAATATGTTATCGACATGTTCTCTTTTGGATGTCGTGAGTGGATTAGAAAAGCGTCTCATTTGGAATGCTAAGAAGAGGTATGTCTGTATGTTGATGCTGCCATGCTAGTGAAAGTTACTGTTATGTTAGTTGGTGAAGAAATGAATTTCAGAATATGAGAAGAATATTTGTATAAGACGAGGAAAGAAAAGTATATTATGAAGATTATTTAATAAAAAGCTCATCAGAGGACTAGAGGAGTATGCAAGGTGAGAGACTTGTAATAAAAGTTTCATTAGACGATCTTAAATTTGCATGCCTACAGTTTGACAAAGGTTTAAGATTAGTAGTGATTGGTATATATGGTGTCTATGAAGTCTTAAATTTTTTTTTAAATTGCGTAGGGAATTTATCGATGCCTTTTATTGTATTAATTGAAGGTAAAATACTTAAAAAACAATTACTGATTAAAAACAACAAACCTTGTTAAGAAATAAGATAAATTGAGAACTGACTTCATAATAAAATTGAAATTGTAAAGGGACTTTACGGAAACCCCGTATAACGTCAAGTATTCAGCATATATCAGTACCGGTAAGTGGAGGGGTCGGATTCTTACTGTTTCAGTATTTTTAAAATTGCCTACCCGATTTATTACACTCCGGATATTTATTCGTTAAGGGACATACAAACATAAGATTTGGACTTCAGTCTTTACCTGTGTTGTTGATAGGTGAAAATCTGACAACCTCATTCGGAAATGTAAACAGACTTAAATCGTTTTTATGATATCTTATCGTTTTTAGTTGGCGCTGATAATTGCACACTGTTTTAATTCCATCCTGAACATGATATCAAAATCCAGTCTGTGGGTGATGTAACATGGTCTGAGAATGAATTCTCAGTCTGACTTTTGAAGAGTTTGAATAGTTAACAATGTGTGCGTCTATATAGGATAAGATTAGCATACAGAGGGCACCCACGACATCTTCTCCGGTCACCAGCCCATGTCAGGTACTGGATTAGTTAGCTAGTTGTTTTAGAAAGCATGGACTTGATGGGGGAGGAAGCCGCAACCGATCAGCGGTTATATGAACCGTCCTAAGGTGCTGAGGAGTCCAGCAATGCTCTCGCCCCTAATTCAAATCCATGCAGGGTAATCAAAGGTGTGGTGACGAGCATATTCCTGACGCTTATCACGATCTGCCTCACCACCGAGACATACGGTGATATAATAATTAATATATATAGATGAAAATTTCCCGGCTGAAAAACGGTGCACATTGGCATACTGTATTTCCTTCAATAAACTTCTATTTCTTCATTTATACCCCGAGTGGTGCATTACTATAAAGAAATCAATTTTTTTTCTAGATATCCTTGTCACACTTGTTTATTGGAAACTAGATGAAAAGATATGGGCGGGACTCACTCTTACGTTTTTGATTGTGCCATCTATTATCATGCAGGTAATTTGCTTTTATAGAAAATAAGTTTTAAAAAAGCCAGGTCTTGGAAGCTGGCTAAAACCACAATGGCTCCGGTATATTCAAATTTGGTTGGTCCAGAAGTATCTGTACCAATATGGAGGTAACTAATTTTGTTCGCCTACTTTACATCAAGTTGTGTAAAGGGACTGATGTCTATGGGCAGGGGGGATATTCACTTGGCTAACACAGACAGTCTATGAACTCGTATTAGAACTACAATAAAGAAAATCAGAATAAAATTATCGCATAACCCTATTCTGGTGCACATACTAGGGGTCTAGGGGAATATCCAAATTTGTGTTTCTAGCTTGACTAATTTTTTTTAGCTTCGAGTCGGGCGCCAACGCCATACCCATTGAGGTTTTAAGTGTGACCACTACCATGAAATGCACTATCGTGGAAGCAGAATTTAAAACTCAAAACTATGGTACAAGCCCAAGGCGTACAAAATTAAAGTTTAACAATTTATAACTCCATCTTGATTATTTTAAATTGATATTAGAAATTGAATTAGGAAAAATTATAAGCTGAAATGGATAGATTTCATTCTTTTTGGGAAGTATTAGATATTTATAAATGTGAAAAAGTAATCAGATGGTTAGTAAACTGGGTCTAGAATAGTTTGGTACCACGGGTACTTCCATTGGGCGTGGCTCAACAATTTTTGCATATGTCATTCCTAATCGCGTCTGATTATGCCATCTAAAAATTACGTCACAGTCATGTAATAAGGCCAGCCAAAATACACGGACCGTCCTCCAAAACGTGCCAAAATCGATCAAGCTACGTTAAAAACAAAGTCATACTCACTTTTGCCGTAACGATTCCTATATGAGAGAGCATTGGTACTAGTGAGTTTGTTATCGTTGGGGCAGACATCATTTTGGGCTATCATTGCTACTTTTTGACAAGAACTATGACGTCATTGTGATGTCACAGTGACATAATTTTTGGATGACGTATTCAGTTGGCGGTTAGGAATAAGGTATGCAAAAATAGTCATACTATGCCCACTTCGGTTGTCGCTGCTTGATAACCAGCTTTGGTTCCCCGCGACTTCCCTTCTCCAGTAAAACTGTGTAAATTATCATTTTCTCGTAATTTGTGCTTGTGTGATATTTTTTTTACTGGTTGGAAAAATAAACTTGACTTTACTAGAAATATATTTGTTACTAAACTATACCAGACCCACAAAACGTTACGGCTCTCCGCTCCTGCTCAAAATTATTCCTAAAACCCTGAAATTATCAAATTAGAACCAATATTGAATTTTATTATTTTTTTCTGTCTTTGCCAACTTTTCCATCATGACTGTAACTGTAATTCCTTTTTTTTTATGTTTTTCAAGGTTTTCAGTACAAGGTGGTACGTAGCGGATGGCCACCGAGCCACTTTCTCCATGTTTCTCATCCATATATTACTCATGGGACCTATAAAACGATACATCACTGTGCTGAAGTTTGGTCTTCGTGCAAGAAAGACCAAAAGAATTGAAGATTATCAGGTACAGCTTTAAGACCTTGTTTAAAAGGCAACTTGTCACTACGTCAAGGGCTTCAACTCAAAAGCTGAACTTGGAAAAGCTGGGAAAACAAGGAAAACTTATATTTTTGATTTCATGCTTTTCGCACTGAAAAATGTCTTGTACGAGCATTCAATGAGGAGCTACAATTTTTGAATAATCTGTTTGCATTTATTGTTTGATTCATAATCTATCCTCAGCTTGTGGCAATCGCAGTTCACAATCTAATTTGAATCATTTATATTGATATCCCAAATTATACCAATAATTGCAGCACTTTTTTCTGTCGATAACGGTGTTTACTGCTTAATCTTTGGCAATACCGACATTGTGTCAATATCTTTAACAATTGCTTTCTCGTTTTTCCTATCACAGTCTATGTATTCTGAGCTGAGTGATGTGAGTATGCTACGATTGTTTGAGAGTTTTCTGGAATCTGCTCCTCAATTAGTGCTGCAGTTGTACATCATGATTAAAGTTACTGAGGAAGACCATATCCTAACAGGTAAGGCCAATTGCACAGAAACAATATTTTTTATATAGAAATATTCATTTTAGGATAGGAGGATTTGCATATTTATCCCAGGGACCTTTGACCTCGAGACATCTGTATTCTCTGATGACACAGTCAATTTTTCATTAAGGCAAAAAAGATTTACTGAATCTAGCCCTCACAAAAAAATTAGGTGCAAGTTTGCTAAAAGCCGATCCGTTTTGAACTGATTTTGCGGGTGGTACCACTACCAGGTAATCCGAACGAAACGATTATGTGAAGGGCCAGTGCCAAGAGAGCGAATTAGAATCGGGAAACAAAACACTATTCGTATTACTTGTTAATAATATTGAACCAATGATGATCGACACGAAATGCTGGGGCGGTTTGTGAACAGGACCCAAAAATAGATCATTCATACGTTGAACCTACAGCCATATATACTTTTTGTAATTTTTTTTTCAGGCATTGCAGCATTTTTCAGTTTAATATCACTAGCCTGGGCAATAGCTGCATACACCAAAGCTTTGAGAACAGCTGCATTCAGTCAAGATAGCAGAAAAAACAGAGTCTCATGGTCTGGACTTGCATTGCAAACCCTATGGAGGGTCGGAATGGTCGCTGGAAGAATTGTTGCTCTTGTACTCTTTGCTACGGCTTATCCAATATGGCTTCTTGCTGGCGTGGGTATGTTTTAATTTTTTGTGTTATTATATTATTTTCACTTTCGCAACAAGAATCTTTATTAGTATATATAAGAAACTACCACCATTGTTTTCAGTATCTTTTATGGTTGACGCTGCCTGTCCTATTTTATTATACATATCATGTTTAAAATAATATTGGTTTTCAAAATTTGAAGAGGCCGCGACCCTGCGACCCCTTTTTAGAATTGTAACGTTTTGCGCCCCATCTCAAAAATAACTAACGATAAGTTACAAATAACAGATATTAGGATGTTTTATTAAAAAAAAAAACACATTGAAAATACGTCGATCGAACGTACCGTAAATATCCAAAATAAAGAAATGCAAATATCTAAAATAAGGCGGTCAAAATCAAATCTATCAAATATTTTTAATAAGCTCCACGTCTACACCCCCTTGTGCAGTGCGCCCCACTGTCTAAGAACCACTGATCTGGACAATAGATATGGGGTTGTGATCCCCATATAACTGGAGTACTTGAAAAATATGCTGACCGTACATTTGAACCCACGTACATTTGAACCCATGTGTATATCCGTGGGTTTAATCTATATGCAGGTACTAAAACCCATGGGTTAGGGTTAGTTCAAATACCCGCAAAACAAAAAAAAATTTCCATAGGTGCAGTAGTATGCAGGTGCAATTGTCATGGGTTCAAATGTAATAGAACCGAAAAATATAGTTAGTAATCAGTACGGTAATTTATTTTCTCATTAATGCTGAAAATACGCAACTGACATATCCATGAGGAATAAAATAAGAATAGTATTCACAGGATGGATGGAGACACTAAAAAACCAGCTCTGGTTGTCGAGCAGTAACACCTAGATGGGGTTAACACAGCATGAAAAACGAAATAAAACTAGAAAGCTTAAATTAAATACAGAAACAAAAGTTTTACACTGTATTTGCAGGATGTCCGGGAAATCCAGAGCCTAAAGAATTATATTTACCCAATTAGACGCATACGCTGCCAATAAGCGCTTGAAAACTCACGTACTACCGCGTATAACAGCTGGTAATTTTTTTTATAAGTTTTGAAGTGAATACACGCAAATGATCAGTTTGTTTTACACTAATACTTTCAGGAGTGCATTGGTTTATCATGACGATTTGGCTAGTTGCACAAGACACGGATTTCTGCGGAAGTTGGTGGGAGGAACGCTTGTTCAATGCAGTCATTGGTGAAATCCATATTTTCTGTTTCTTCAATATGAAAGAAGGGAGATCAAGATGGAGAATGATAGCTTTTTATTTGGTAAGTTTATTTTTTGTGATTCAATTTTTTCACTTCAATGTGGGAGAGGACAGCTTATAATTATTGTAGTGGTAGTGTAGTGGTTCTTGACCTTTTTGTTGAATTCCTTTGTATGTTTAGAAATATTTATTCCTAAGGCATAAAAATTACTTAATTCGTTCAATCTTCAATTGGTCTTTTGCCCTTTTTTATGCAGTTCAAGCAGTTTATTATGTGTTCATGAAAAAGTATTATTTAAAACCAAAAAGTAAAGAATATTAGCAATATCACAACAAATGCAAAGTAAATACCTCCTCAAAAATGACAAAATTTCCTATTCATTGGGAAACTTTGACATTGCGGCTACCGTCCTGTCATTCTCTTGTCCAAACCTCAAATGCTCCCTGGATACGCCCCTGAGTTAAAGATATTCGAAGGGCTGAGAATTATATACAATAGAATTCAGGACTATAGTTAATGATATGATTGACCAAGACTTTTAGTCCACTCGCCGGTTCAGGTCAAATACGCCCAGGGTAACGTTTTCTAACCGGGAAGGAGTTACTTTCCCGGGAGGATTTTTTTCATATTTTTGGAGGAGTTTTGGTTTTTATTAGTCCTTAAAAGACGATAATACAATTCTGATTTGTTCGTTTGGTATTTTACGTATTTCTTTTTGCTGTCACTTTAAACAAGGCTTCAAGCAAGCTGTCCTTTACATGTATAAGATCGTTAATTCAGCATTAATTGTTTTAATAAGTTTGTGTTGTAAATGGCCAGCTAAATAATATAGATGATGACTTTTAAGGCTCTTTTTGGAAGGATGCCATATTTTATTGCATTTTCGACCTCATCTTAAAAATTTGGCCACTGTGTGACAAATTATTGTTATCGTTCATTAGCACAGTTTGGTTTTATGCATATGGAGGGAAGAATAAAGAATTCCAAAATAGGCAAAGAGAGAAATTTACCAAGGAAAGGTTGGGAACCACTGGTCTATGTGAATTGGTAACCAGTAAATTATTTCAGATGAATTGAAGGCTTAAAGGGATTTAGAATTAGATAAGTGATCGAGCATCAAGTGCATCGAGACAGCTTAATGCCCTCTGTCCAGTCACCAGTCCAGTTTTAGTTTATAAATAGTAACCAGTTCACTTTTTCTTTGTGGTGGAAGATGTCCCTGACCAGCGATTACCTCACTTTTGAGGTTTACCTTTGTGGTGACCATCGTTTACTGTATGTGACCGCACCTCACACGCGAGAAAAATCATGACATCATCACATCATGAACAAAAAAGTTATCTGAAAGCCGTGCATCTGCATATTGAATCCGCTTTATATTATAAAACCAATGCTAATCAGACAAATAAGATAACTTGTCAAAAGTATCACAAATAAGTTTGCAGGTAACAAAACTTTTTATTTCATTTCTGATTAATTGCAAACAAGTCAATGCAGTTTTTGCGTATTGGATAAAATTTGCTAGTGCCGTAATTTGCCTACCTCTGCACTACTGGATGTGCAAATGTGAAGTGTGCCAACAAGTGGTGTAAGGCTGTGAGTTTTCTTTGTATGATGCGCCAATCATCAGGACAAAAACAATAGGAAATATGGAATCGTTGTTGGAAAGTAGAGGGGGGGGGGGTATGGTGGGCATATGGGGTTAATTGAGTACAATGTATATAAACTTCGCTAACTTTTTTGTATGTTGAGTGAATGTTTTGTACTTTGTAGCAACAATAGTTCAAATCTTATGCTTCCATTTCATTGCATATAGTTCACATGCCTACCCATGCTAAAATTGTTTTGGGTGTTTTATGGGAATTTTTGGTACTCCCGAAGTATGTGAACCAAGATGGCGGACACCGGAACGTAGTATGTGTACCAGGTTAGGGCAAAATTTCATTCTAATTTTCCTTTTTTCAGTTCTATTACGAGTTCGGGGACAAGCCAAGTGACTCCTGTTGTATTTGTACCTGATAATATAGTATTTAGAGATTTAGATGTAAGCGTAACTCGGGAGTGTCAAGGCGAAAGAATTAAATTTCTAAAAAAAATTTAGTTGAAATTTTACGTCGAAATAGGTTATATTTGGGCTGGTTTCTGCCTGATTGAGTGCTTTACTCCGGTTTAAATCAAAATTTATATATGGGAAGGGAAGAGCCTTATAAACTTTGTTGGAAAGTATTCTATCGAACCATAATAGAACAACCCAGACCAAGTGTCGGCCATAACAAAGAGTCATAGGATGTATGTGATCACTCTCATTACATTTTAAAGGTCACTTAAGATTTTTCTCGCTGCCCTGATATTTTGTCTCATCAGTGTTGTTCCCGTTTCCATTGTATTAGTGCTTTTGTTGAGTCAAGACAGAGTAATCAGATTATATTACTTAGATTAACTGCACTTTTTGTTTGTTTGAGACTTTTGTACATTAATTCCATACAAATCTCTACGTAGGCAGCCGATTCCCGGATTGTATTATTTTTTTGGGAGGATGGTATCTTTTCGTTTTGATATTGCCTACTCTTATATTTATATATTGGTTAAGGTGTTTAGTTGTTCAACATTTCAAGTTTCTTTTCAGATGTTTTTTAAAAGTTTTTTTTATATTGTTTTCTTCTAGACGTCCGAGTAATATTTGTAAAGTTGAGCTATTGTCTTTCACAATAGTGTAGCTTACATGATCTCTGTGCTTTGTGAGCTGCGCTGAAATTTGATAAATTGATGTGTTGATTTTCATTAGTTGTACACGGCGACGTTAAGACACTGGTATTAATGAGAGAGTAAAGTATTTAGAGATTTAGATGTCAGTGTAACAATAACAAAGAAGATCCAAGGCGAAAGAGTTGGAAATTTCAAACAAAACTGTTTGAATATTTTACATCAAAACTCATGAAAGTCTGAATCAATACATACGTTAAATACTGGCAGGCTAGCGGCAATCGATAAGATTGTAATTTATTTGTAATTTGTATATGTTTCAGACTTATTTCGTATCAATGCGAACCCACTGTGCAGTCTTAAAGAGAGAGTAAAGTATTTAGAGATTTAGATGTCAGTGTAAGAAAGAAGTTTCAAAGCGAAAGTGTTGAAATTTCAAACAAAACTGTTTGAATATTTTACATCAAAACTCATGAAAGTCTGAATAAATACATAAGTTAAATACTGGCAGGCTAACAGCAATCGATAAGAACATAATTTAGACTTCAGACCAGTGTTAACTCTAAGGAAATTATGAGTGCGAAAGTGCTTCGCAGTCGAAAAAAAAAGTGCGAAAGTGCTTTTTTCTGATTTTAACTAGTTAGGTGCCCTAGCTTTCGTTTAAACTCATTTCAAACAGCATAGATACTCGAAAAAGCGCTCCTTGCGTTAATATTGTGAATTGAAGTCTTTCCGTTAACGGAGTTTCGTTTAAACTCTTGTTAAAAACAAGCGAATTCATCAAAGGACACCTGATAAGCACACTTGTCGGGAATAAAAGTTTCGTGCAATCAACCACCAGCGTCAGTAACGAAGCGCACTCCCGCCTGAACAGACAAGCCTTGCAAACTTGTTTCTTCCATCTAACAGACACCGATTGATACATGCAGATATTAGTTACTACCGGCCATAGCTAGGGAGGGGGATCATTTGTACAAAACCCGGGCAAAATGACATCCCCATGACCCATCACCAATATCGCTTTAGTATAACACGCTTCCTCGTCCGAAAGAATATGCTTGAAAGTAGTCCGCCCTCTTCCCTTTTAAGAGATTGGTTAACGTCATGTTTCTCCGGCCAGTTTTTCTTTGGGAAATAACGCAAGATCACCATGAAAGGACGCTGTTTTTATAGATAGAGTGACCTACTTTCTATCGAAGATTTTTTTTCCGAAATATTATGCAAGATCACTTTGAAATCCCTTTCATGAGCTAGCTTGGCCTAATTTATATTATACTGTCTCACGGATTACGCTAAGACGTGTAATTTTCAAATATCGACTTGCATTGGTTTGCGTGCCAGTTAGTTCAAATCGGGTAGAAAACATCATATATTTGCAATTTTTTTTAGAAATGCCATGTACTTCCAGCATTTATAAATAACGCTCTCTCTAATGCTGCAGACCTAGTATGAAATATTCGCATCTCAACGCCACTTTCAATTACACTAATAGTAATGATGACACCAAAGAGTTTTCCTTTGCGAAGGTACAGGAAATACAACAGGGTGATTCTTGAAAAAAACATGAATGTAAAAAATAAACGAATGACATGATAGTGGTTCCCAAATAATTTTGAGTGTGACGCGAAATACCAATCCATTTGATAAATCTTTTTTAGTCGACCACGTGAACGCCGAAATCCTGGAAATTAAAGTTGAAAGAGAAGTACGCATTCTCACATAAATAATCGCGATATATAATCGTTCATGTGCACAAATCTCACATGTAGCATCGGTTAGTTGTGCATGAAATATAAAACTCTTATGTGTGTGCGTTTCAATTTCAATAAAATCAAATTCGTTTTTCCATGCACCATTACTTGTAATTTTAATATTAATTGCGTTCCGAGTTTGTAAAGTTTAGAAACCTCTTGTATATACCATTACCACTATTTTGATTGGCTAAAGAAAGATAACACGTAACCGCTTTTCGGCAACATGGTATTCGTTTTATATCTGCTTTGAACAGAGAAAAAAACATGTGCCCTCTCATTCATCTGATCACAATCGAAAATCCGTATTCATTTTTTTCGCGATTTCGGCAATCGTTATTATTAAGGGTTTTCGTCGACTGAAAAATAAACATCGTTCTGTTGATTATATATTTCAGGCCATGTTCTTTATATCCTGCCATAATTAGCAAATCTTTATTAAGCAACCCATGATTATAAAATAGCTTTGCTTATCATTTGCTGCTGAATCTTGTGCTATCGCTTGTCAATTATAGCAGAGACGTAAGGAACATATTTAAAAAAAATTTTAAAATTAAACATATTAAAAATGTTTATAAAGAAATTAGCCACGTTATCAGCGCCAAC